AGTAAAGAATTTCTTCCTTATATCTAATCTAAATCTACCCTCTTTCAGTTTAAAACCATTCCCCCTCATCCTGTCACTACACTCCCTGATGAGGAGTTCCTCCCCACCTTTCCTGTAGGCCCCCTTTAAGTACTGGAAGGCTGCTATAAGGTCTCCCTGGAGCCTTCTCTTCTCCAGGCTGAACAACCCCAACTCTCTCAGCCTGTCCTCATAGAAGAGGTGCTCCAGCCCTCTGATCACCTTCGTGACCCTCCTCTGGACTCGCTCCAACAGGTCCATCTCCTTCTTATGTTGGGGGCCTCAGAGCTGAACACAGTACTCCAGGGGGGGTCTCGCCAGAGTGGGCAGAGGGCGAGAATCACCTCCCTCAACCTGCTGGTCACACTGCTTCTGATGCAGCCCAGGATGTGATTGGCTTTTTGGGCTGCAAGTGCACACTGCCGGCTCACATTCAGTTTTTCATCCACCAACACCCCCAAGTCCTTCTCTGCAAGGCTGCTCTCAATCCACTCATCACCCAGGCTGTATTTGTGCTTGGGATTGCCCCGACCCATGTGCAGGACCTTCCACTTGGCCTTGATGAACTTCATGATGTTCACGTGGGCCCACCTCTCAAGCCTGTCAAGGTCCCTCTGGATGGCATCCCTTCCCTCCAGTGTGTTGACCATATCACACAGCTTGGTGTCGTCGGCAAACTTGCTGAGGGTGCACTCAGTCCCACCGTCCATGTCACTGACAAAGATGTTAAACAGCACCGGTCCCAATACCGATCCCCGAGGAACGCTGCTCGTCACTGGTCTTCACTCAGACATCAAGCCGTTGACTCCAACTCTTTGAGTGCGACCATCCAGCCGATTCCTTATCCACTGAGTGGTCCACCTGTCAAACCCATGTCTCTCCATTTTAGAGACAAGGATGTCACACGGAACAGCGTCAAATGCTTTGCACAAGTCCAGGTAGATGATGTCAGTTGCTCTTCCCTTATCCACCAACGCTGTAACCCCATTGTAGAAGGCCACCGAATTTGTCAGGCATGATTTGCCCTATCCTTATCCTGGATGCTGGCCTCACTAATGCCCGAAGCATTTCAGCTCTCCACCATGGCCAGGTTTCTTGTGTGGTGGTCCAGCAAGCCCTCTAGATGCAGAGACACCTGGAAATCCAACAGTGGCAGCTCTTGGCCAAGAGAGAGGTGCTTACAGCTATGCCAGCTAGAGCAAGGCAAATATTTGTGAGCATGGGAAGTGTGCGGGCCAAGATCATCCAGCCCGGTGAGGATGGGTGATGCGGGGACAGCTCCAGCAGGTCCATCAGCTTCTCCTGCTTCCTGAACCAGCCGTGGGCCTCTGGAGATGAAAACCAGCGCCCAATTTCTAGGCCATGACTATGCAGTTCATGGGGAGGGCTGTAAATCCAGTTTGCTGTGCAGTGATTTTCAAGCTGGCAGGTCTGAGCGGTGATGTGAGACATCCCCAGTGCTCAGCAGGGTTCATGTGCATGGGACTGGAGCAGAAACAATTTTTGGGGGTGAATGTAAATGTTCAGAAGGAGAAAGAAAAAAAAAGAACTATTCTGGCCCAAATCAAATCCACATGTTGGTGTAGGGGGTTCTTTCAATTCCAGGTGTCAGGTGTTTTCAAATCTGCTTAATACAGCAGAAGTAAGGTTGATGGGGAACATCAAAGTGACATGCCCACAAGTTTTGCTCTGAGGTGATTAATTTTAGTTTGGATTTTTCCTTGTCATTTTAATTTGGGGGGCGGGGGAGGGTGGTGGTGGTGGTATGGAAGAGTCAGTTTGGCCAGGCTGCAAAACCTCTGAGCAGCTAATAAGTCTGCACTGGTGGCTGAAAGAGGGTCAGCAGAGAGAGATGTCACCCACCTCTCCCAGCAGCTGCTGGACGCTGACCCTGAGCTAGGGCTGCCTGGAGAAGGAAGGGCACAGCCGGTGCATGCTCACTGGAGATGAGCTGCTCTTGCAGCTCCCCAGTAGAGTGGAGTGGGAGAGCGGATCAGCTGCCAGTTCAGCTCCTCCACCTGTGAATCGCAAGGTCACGTGCGCGTGCCTCGCTCGGTGCTGATAAGGGAACCATTACAGTCCTCCTCTGCTTACCTGGCTTGATATCAGTGTCCCGCTGCTGCTGGTGGCAGCCAGGTAGCGATTTCTAGGCCTAACTGATAATTAGTTAAATCTGTCCTTGGCACAAAGGAGAACACAGTGAGCTAGAAAGCTATAACGTGAGCATGGCTGTCTGCCCATGCCCGTGATAGGGAAGAGCACCCAGTACCTCTGCATCCCTTGGGACACCAATTTGCTCTAAGGCAGAGCGAAGGGCTCACATGAGAGCTACAGAGCCCTCTGCGTGGTGAATAAATACAATATGCCTGCACCCAGCAGCGCTGGGGCTCAGCGATGAGCTCTGCACAGGATGGGGAGCTGCTCTGCACCCTGAGGCACTTGCCTATTGAAGGGAGATGACGATTGGGCCTGAGAACACCGGGAAAATGGGAGATTGGCACCGGGTGCTGCGCTCCCGTCTTTCTTACCGCAGGACCCTAAGGAGTTAACAAAAAATGCCACCTACTGTATTTTATCTCTCCTCCATTAAGGTAGCTCTGACACCGGCAGCAGAACAATGCTAAATTCTGATTAGCTCTGGTTTTCCAGCAAGAGGGGAGGCACAAGAGGGTGGGGAATTAATACTATTCTGCATAATTTTTAATCTAAATTCCATTTCTTTTCTTTTCTTTCTCTAGGAAGCAAACAATCTAGGGGGTTTTGTACTCAATTTTTTGCTTTCATAATCTAAATGAATTGTTTGCAAGTAGGAGCCAGCTGCAAAGCTGGCAATCTCCGATCAAATCTGCCTTTCTCCTAGTTCTAGCAATCATTAATTTGCTCCTCAGCTCTGATTAGCTAATCCTGGCTGCCTTGTGGCAGTTTGCAGGGAAAAACAGCATGTGAGACGCAGTTCCCTTTGACGGAGCTGGAGCTGGTGGCGGGGTGACGGGATTGATTTCTGCAAGGGTCCATGGTGCTCCTGGTTGTCAGCTCTCTGGAGAGGAGTGGGGTGCTTTGGGAGGAAAGGCTGGCAAGGTTATTTATGGAATCCTGGCATTTTGGAAATATCAGAGGATGATGCTTTCCCCTGCTCAGTGCAGGGTGTGCTAGTTTGTTACACTGAGACTAATTAGCTGGGCTTTAAAATAGGAATTGAAGACACTGCAGAAGCCTCTCAAAAATACCTGGGTGCTGCCCCATTTTTATGATGTTGCTGGTGTGTCTGGGTGACATGGCAGAGCTGTTACCTCTATTTCATAGATGGGAAACTGAGGCAGGGGTCTTTGCGTGTTGGTGGATGGAGGCTCACAAAGAACAAGCCTCAGCAGTGGGGCTCTCTGGATGAGGATGTGGTATGGGGTGCTTTTTGTGCCAGGCCCTGGTTTATTACATGGTGAGTTAAGAGTCACGGTCTCAACTCCTACCGTGAAGCTCAGAGAGCTCCTGCCTGCTGGCAAGCCTGGACGGCACCAGGGGTGTCCAAAGGGGATGTCATCTCCCTAGGCTGACTGCTGCCCGTCACCAGAGCATCACCTCATCATGTCCAGCTCCCCATGACCCTGTTTTTCACAGGTCTGAGGGCCCAGGTGAGTCAGATGTGGAGCTGCTGGCCCGTGTGCCAGTACGCTGGCTGGGTGCAGGGCTGCTGCCGGCCCCACATGCCCCTTTCTTGCACGTAGCTCTGCAGGCCTTGCCTTTCAGCTGCTATCTGGCTGCATTTTATTCCAACGCATTCCTTTTTCAGATTACATTCCCCAAGTGCTGGGGGTGGATCTTTTTAATTTTCATTTGTTTCAAAGCTGTACATGGCTTACAAGCATGACAGAAATGCGCCTGGAGTGCAGGAAATGGCCTACTTAGCTGCAGGAGCAGAGCAGCCTTTTCTGTCACACTGACTCCCGGGACCCCGTCCTCCCAGGGGACCAGGGCAGCTGCCTGCTTCCCTCATGGGCACGTGTTTCTGGAGCTTCTCTTCAGATGTTCGGTCCAACCATAAAGCCCAAACAGCCTGTCCAGGCAGAACGGTGCCAGGGAGCAGAGCTTTGGAGGGTACTTCCAAGTTCTGACACCAAACTGCTGTGTGAGGGCAAGGCAGGGCCCCTGTCCGTGTCCCCCCTTCACCCAGCTGGCCACGAAAATCTCTTTTTGCTGTTTCAAGGTAGCTTAGAGAAGGGGAGAGACTGTGTTAGGACTATTACGAGCTGAGGAAGGAGAGCTTGCAGGGCCAAACCTCTAACAGCTTTTGGACTTACTGGACACTTTCAGCCTAGTCTGAAAGGGGACAGAGATCTCAGAGGTGTTGCATTCTCACAGTTTGTGCGAGCTAACAGCTGGGGGGGAGAAGGACTCATACCAGGCTCTCACGGAGGGAAAGGCTGTGCACAGAAGGGGTTCACCCTGCCAGTAGCACCCAGAGGTGGGCTGGCCAGCCAGCTGCACGCTGGTCTGCCTTAATACCACTTGGAGAATGCACAGGGACTGTTCTTGCTATGTCTATGATGTCTGGAACTAGATGCATGCGCACGTCCAAGTCTCTGCCTTAGCAGGACAGATAGGGACATGAGGCCTCCTGCACTGAGAAGAGTCTTCCCTAAAGGACCTGAATTTCCCCAGTGGATCCCAGGAAGACTGAGGACCCTTGTATTAATGCCAGCTTCATTGCCAGAGAGCTCATAGAAAGGACTCATCTGAGGAGGAATCGTGCTAGGATCAGCGGCTGCTGTAGGAGGAGGAACAAGAGGCAGGGCTGTGTGCCCATGGGAGGGCAGTGAGCTGGGGCTGGGCAGGGACAGCTGGTAACAAGGTTGCTGGAGCAGAGGGAAGTGAACATTAAGCTGTCCAGCTTTTAATCTTATTCAAGGGCTCTACCTGGTGTATTGAACTCTCCAGGGATCCAACCTTCCTTCAGACTATTTCCACTTTATTTACTGTGGTTTTGTCTTTGGTTCAAAGAACACAGCAGCAGCAAAAAATGGAGTCTCTCAATAATGTCTTTGAGGCCTGCGGAAGATGGAGTCTCCAAGCCCCTGAGAGAAAGACAGCAGTGAACACCTACCCCTGTATTAACTTTACTTCCCGAGTTTTTCCCAGTCAGAGGAATGCTTCAAACCTTGCTCCATGAACACAAGCAGATTGTCTCTGAATGCATTCCACTAGAAACCACAGCTACGGTTCAGGAGGATTTGTTCTTGGGCACTAATCCTTCCTCCCACTGCTCTCATTTATCTTACTGATGCTAATACCATACTTCAGACTTTATGTTTTAATGACAAACAAGTATTAGTGGTCTTAGAGGCTGGGAGTTCCCTGTGTGTCCATCTGCATAGTACCCGCAGTGGCATCTGTCCACGGGCTGCTTGGGGGCCTTGACCATCTTGGCTAGCAATCCTGGGATTCAATTCGGTGGATGCTCTCAGATGTCAGGGAGTCAAAAAGGCAACAGAGCAGCTCTTCAGCCTGGGGAGAAAAGAAGGAAGGGGTTGGGGAGAGCTCTGATTTCTGTGCATTGCAAAGAAACTTCTTTTCAGAGGTAGGTTTCTTGTGCTTGCTACAGGCAGGCAGTATAGTGAGCATGTCTACCAGGTTGAATTAATCCCAGCACAGAGGTGGCTGTGAGTGTCCCACAGCAGGGAAATGTCTACTAGTTGTGACCACTGTTTGGCCGCTCTCAAGATTCACGTTTTCAAGGAACTGAAGAAAACCAACAACATGCAAAGTGCCAAGTGGGAAATCTAACTTCCTGCCCTGGCTGCTCTGCCTCTCCTTCCCAAACCTTGGCCCTACGCAGCTCTTTGGCATGGCTGCTTCAGAGATGGGGAAGCCAGCTCAGCACCAAGGGCTTCAGGACCAGTCTGTAATTCTGACTGTGCTAATGAACACCATGTTCCCCTAAAGCATCATAAGTGCTGTGCTGACAGCCCGCCCCACACAGTCCTTGGGGCCCTCCTCCTGCCAGCACTCTGCCTCTCCTCATAGGTTTTTAGGTCTCTTTTATAGGACTCCAGCCCTTCTGCCTGCTGCTGAGGGGCTAAGGATCATGCCAAGAGTGGCTGGGATGTGTTTTCCCTGTGTTGCTCTGCTCCAGTCCCAGGTTTTAGCTGTCTCTGCAGGGAGGAAGATGCTGGAGCAGCCATTGTGGCTGCTGGCAACAGCTTCAGGGCTCCAGGCAGAGTGGAGGGATTAGTGCTGCCTGCCAGTGGAGGCTGGACTGCACATCTGTGGGCTCTTACTGAGGAACAGCTGTGCAGAGACCCTGCGGTCTCCCTGCTCTGACATGCTAATGGTGGCAGGTCAGTGACGTACTGCACTGTCACTGAGGGACGGCCACCCCAGCCTCACAATCTCATCCCAGCCATGGCACAGAGCTGCACATGAGGAGAAAGTGTTCAGCCACACACATCCCAGACCTGAGTCTGAGCACTGCACTCCCTGACAACTCTCTTATTGCTGGGGAGGTTCCAGCTTGGGTATGGACCAGGTGCAGGGACACCTGGGACCACCTCACAGAGATCCACTGGAAGTTCACAGCCCCTAATGGTAGCACCAAGAAAGCATGGCTCTGTCTCTTCCAGATGTGAGCTGGTCTGTGTGTGCCCAAGATAAGCCTGCATGGGGAGCAGACATCTGCAGTGTCACTGCGTGAGAATAAGGAACTTCCAAAGCATGAATTCATCTGCTTCTAAGGCAGATGTTTCAAACAGGACAGGTGAAAAATGCTGTGGAAATGCTTGCTTCTCTCAGTGACTGCAGAAGGAGGCAAGACAACTACCCCAGACACGGATGTCAGCACTGAAATAGTCCACATCTGGAAAGCTGATTTCTCATCCTATTGCCTAGTCCCAAACCACACAGGGAGCAAGTATGAAATTCCTGTTCACTTCCATGGCTCAACTCCACCAGTAAATGCTGCAGCTCTGCTCAAACCACAAAGATTTGAAATCCATGTTCATTTAACCCTCCTGAACTTTGCCTGATATCATGTTGTTGCTCATTAGCTTTGACCTGGAAAGCCTAGCTGACATTTCATAAACTCATTAGCAAGAGATCAGAGGATCAAACATAATTTCTAGGGACATCCTTTGAGGTACAGTCATTCAGTGGTGAGCTTGCTCCTCATATCTCACTCTGTGTTTTCTAAACCTACCCTGAACTTTGGAGCAAAAGGCCCATTTGAAAATAAACGTTACTTGCTGCTGTACTTTTAGTAACCCACAATGAGAAGCGCTGTACCCACCACTGTGCCAGAACCAGACTCATGGTCTAAACTCTGAACTGCTGTGAGTAGCCCCTGCTTCCACCAGTGCCAGAGGGATTTGATTCAGTGGCCCAGGCTGCCAGAAGCAGGGAGAAAGGCTGAGCATATTTGCTTTTTCTCTTATCTATCACAGAAAGTACTGTAAGCATCTTTCTGATAGGCTGATTCCCCATAGCCGTGAAGCAGAAGGGATTTTATGTCAGCCAGAGACGTGCAATGTCCTTTTCAAAGCAAATCAGAAGACAGCCTGGACTTGCTGCCCTGTCACATTACTTGGCAACAGCCTGGCACCCTGGCAGCAGTAAGCGCTGTGCTATGACAGGCTTGCAGCTATAGCAGAGCTGTGCAGGCAAACCTTCCCAGGCACTGCAGCGCGTACAATTCCAGCTATGCCTGGGGAGCATTTTACTGTGCCTTAGGGAAAGCTGCTGAAAACAGCAGCTGTACGACTTTTGGGAAGTTTGGAGTAGTTTTGCCTGTGTTAAAAGCAGGAACACAGACTTCAAAGTGGGCTCTGTGTCTTTTAAGGCTCAATCCTTAGAGCACTGGTACTGAAGGCAGCAGCTCTGATATGTTATATGAGATTACAAACACATCTCGCTCCCCTGCTGGGTTTTTTGGGGAAGCAATAGGGATCCAGAGGAGAGGTTTGTCCACTTGCTACCATTTCTCATTCTCCCCAATTCTTTTACACCTCCTAGTCCTAACTCTTCAGGCACTGCCTCCTCTATCCGAATCTCTCGTTTGTTTTGTACTAAACTTTGATGATTACAGCCAGAGTTTTAAAGGTATTTATGCAGTTGATTCCCATTAGCTGCCCACAATGTCTGAAGCTTAGTGTTTCCTTCCGATGAACTACTGAGACAATATTCTGTTAGCCCATCCCTGGAATGGCTAATGGCTTAATTTCTCCTCTTCCCTTTGGATTTGGGCTTCTGAAACATAACTTCCCGAACACAGGAGATGTGCCAGCTCGGCAATAAGGCTGAATGAACATTTCCTGTCACTAATTTTTGACAAGTATCACTGATGTCTTACTAAGTGTTGATTCTTCATAAAAAGTAACTGACATCTATGGAAAATACTGAATCTTTATCAAAGTCTCCAAATATTTTGATTCAAAATAGTGCCACTGCTGTAATGTGGAAGACAGTTTGTCAGGGTTTTGGTCCCACCTTCCACCATGTGCTGGCCTCTCAGTATAAGCCGAGGCTTGGGGCTGTGATAAGGCACCACCTCCGCCTCACACAAATTAAAATTTTCTTCTAAAATTCAACCAATTTTGCCAAGTTTCATTCACCACAGGGGCACAAAGGACACATATCTATACCATAAACTTCTCTACTTGCCTGATTCTCATTTTGGGGGTAAAGGAGATGCTGCACAGTGTCCAGGACTGACTGCTTCTGCCAACAGACACTGGGGGTAAAGAAAAACAGAAGCCAGTGTTACTTTTCCATCTAAGCTGTCACAGACTGCAGATGACCTAGCTTTGAGGAGGACTATGCTCTGTGCCAGCAGGTCTGGCCATGTGCATCTGTTACAGAACTTCTTTACACAGATAAATCCTGGGTTTTACAAAGCTTTGTATAAATGGATTTTGATTCTTAAAATATAAGCCTTCAAACAAACAGTAATGACCTGTTGCATAATGGGGTCTCTGGGGCAGTGGGAAATACACATAAACATAGATAGTTAGCTTTGTGTAAGGGTCTTTTTCTCAACAAAGACAATCTCTGTGTTTTCCCCAAAACCCAGGACTTTCTAAGCTGCCTTCAGCAACAGGGTCTACTTCACTAATTCTTGTTTTGCTCTGGTCCACCTCAAGCCACACATGACCTGACCACAAGACATATTGAAGAGAAATTAAAAGGCAAGATACAAATTTCAAAATTGCCTTTTAAACTGATTTTATGCACACTCAGAGTCTTAGGCTTGAAAACTCTCCAGAGGCTTTGGAAATCACTTCCAGCTCCCTGCCGCCATATCCAGGTATTGTGCTTGGCAACAGTTTTCCTTTCAGTGGTTTTCAACAGCTCCAAGATTTTACATCTCATGTGTTCATTTTTTTATTTCTACACCTCTTTTCCCTCCAAAGCTCCCAGAGATGAGCTTCCTATAGGGATAACATCACTCCCCGCTAACAGCAATTAACACTTGGTGAATGTTTCATCAGAGAGAATAAGATCCAGCTAAGTTCCTTAACACTTGACTTTTGTTCTGATTGCACTACATTGTCTGAAACTAGGAAGGTGTAAGGCCTAGTTTAGACTCCAATTTTCTTCTGATGCAGCTAGGTTTTCGGCCTGCTTTAGTCGAATGCTGCTTACTGAGTTGAGTACAATGTTAACTAGGTGAGTTCCTAAAGACTGTGCACAATATAGTTAGGTCCTAGCAATCTTATGGGCATCTGAAATTACCTTTTAAAAGCTCAAATAATCATACAGGAGTAATGACTATTAAATCAGTACCACCTATTAAGGCAGCTGGATCTAGTTTGTCATGCATAAAAAGCAGAGCATGCCTTTCTTCCAGGAGTTGCTTCAAATCTACTTGTAAATTCTTCCCTGTGCCACCCTGCAGCTCAGAAATCTGGCTGCAAAAACAAGTTATGACAGGGAAAGTTCAAATGTTTTATACTAGAGATCCAGGCAGCCAGATGCTGACAGAACAAGAATGGTAAGTCTCACATCATTTTTCCTTGTCTGTGGATAGGATTGTGTCACTTCCTTCTCTGGATTCTCCCCCCAGTCCCCATTGCTCTTAGGCTGTGCTTCAGCTTCCCCTCACCTCTTCCAAACACTTACTTCACTCTGCCCTATGAGTTACCCTTGGCACCCTCCCAGATTCTCCCAGATTCCTACTTTGGCTCCACTCTTGGCAGTCAATCAAACTCACAGGCTGCTTTTGTGCCCCCACCTGCATAAATTTTGTCCTTGTCTCTGTTCTTCCTGCCCTTTGGTGCAGAAATAATGCCTTCATGTATGTCCAGAGAACAGAGAGAGTGGGCACTGCTGCAGCTGAACAATAACCACTGCACAGTTATGAGGGTCTGTGTCTGTCTTCAAGGCAACTGCTCTGCACAGCACATCCTCCAGTGATTGAATGTCTCTGCTTGATGTACCACTGCTAGAGCTGGCTTAGGAAAGCTTTAATAGGCTCTGAACTATGAGCAGTTATATTAGCAAAGCCTGCATTGTTCCTCTCAACACCTGATTCCTCCTCCTTATCACAGCCCATCTCTGACATCATATCCCAGGCTTCCATACAGATGGCAACTTTCCTCCCCATGGCACAAAGCCTAAGTAATGTGGCTCAGCTGTGAATCAAATCCCAGGGCCGTAAAATAATCTCTTACACCATGGTGCTTCAGCAATGTAACTGAAATGCAGGCCACAACCTGTGCAGGTATTGGAATCTTGGGCCGTGGCAATAAGAGTGAAATAAATATACAGTGATTTACTCAGTACAAGAAAGGTCACGTGGCTCCTGCTGATGGAGTCATAAGTGCAATTAACCTCAGATGTTATTTTGAAATGTTTATAAACTAGGCAATGAAGATGTCTTAGCATGAAGTGTCCTTATGAGACACTAGTTAAGTCAGGCTGGGTTTTCAAAGACATTTGCAAAGTTGATTTTAAACAATATGATGGCTTATGATACAATACAGGTGTGAGTTTACTGTTGGCTAAAGTTGATCTACCAGCAGATCACTGCTTCCCCTCCTCCCCATCCTTGGGCACACCTTGCTGCCCCTCCCTTTCACAAGCATCATTGATCATGAAGGCAAATTTTTTTTTGTAGAGCTGCTTTTAAATGGCTCCATGATCACTACTTCTGGCACTGGGGTAAGAGGCAGAGTGGATCTTGCCATTTGGGAGTGCCCCCTAACAGCCATAATTTATGCACATGTATTTTGCAGTTCGGCAAGGAAGTTTATCCTTTGTACAGACAGCCATACTGGCACAGACCAGGATGAGGGGTGAAAGATGCAGCTGAGACTGGCACCCATTCATCCCCGCTTCCTTCTCAGCCCCTCGGCTCACTGTGAACAGCAGTGAGAAGCCACTGCAAGGTTTGCTCTGGGGGTGCTGCCCTGAGACTGGCAATCTTAAAATATATCAAGTTAAGCCTACAGAAGAGGGAAGCACTGTTTGCAGCTGATCTTGTTATGCAGCACCCATCACTGATGAGCAAAAGCCTGGGGAAAATAAAGAGGTGGGGATCTTGTATTGGCTGTCAGCAGAGCTGACAGCCACTCTCCCAAAACTACCTTCAGCAGTGATTTCTGGGGTTCCCAACAGCTTACTTTTTTCCTGTGACAAAACTCACTAGAAAGGTCTTCAGTAACTTGCTCTTTGCTTCCCCTTAGTGCTGTACCTTGCCAGGTGAACGGTCTGGGATGTGGCTCCTAAGGGTGCAATTTTAACTCAATGGGAGCAATGTCTGAATTTTGTAATTAGCTTAAAAACATTTCTGAAAAGTTACCGATGAAATTTGTTCCAACTGTTCTTCCCAGGTGTGGCCTTGTGACTGAGCATCATAACATTTCATCAAAGTATGAGAACTCCAAGGTGTCTACCAGATTGGATATTCAGATTTGATCCCCTTGATGTTTGTAAACTCCAGCATCCTTGAATTCCTTATTCCTGTCCCATTGACAGTGTTATCTGGAAGTCCTCCAGATGGTACAGCCAAAGTCACAACAGTCTTATTGGTGTGGCTGATGGACTGCTCTATACCAAATGTGTCAAAAAAAAGATTCTCTTGGCTTCCTTTCCTCGAGGAAACCCTGTGCAGGAACTACACATCGCATTGCCAAATACCAGCCCCTGTGCAAGGAAACTTTCCCTCTGGGGAACAGTGGGTTAATTGGCCTGATAATCATTCTATTTCACTAATCAGTCCCTGTAGAGGGGTTCTGTTTGTTTTATCAGGCTTAGACATCCTCTACCCAGCATTTCTGGTGATTTATTTAGGAGGCTAATTTTTTATTTTGCTTTCTGTTGTTATTTTAAGTATTTTTTTCATAGCAAACATAGAATCTGCTAAGATATTTCTCCTAGGAATTTTATTGATTCAGCAGGTCTATTCCCAATGTGAGCCCTTATTTCAGAGAAACCCCTGTATTTGTGGAACCATGCTGCCAAGCCTCACAGACACTCCAAGTCTTTAACAAACACCACAACTCAGTATTTAAGGTCCTGAGTATAGGACACATGACTTCGAAACTGGGGAACGCTCTCAGGTATTGACCCATTAACAACAACATAACTTAGGAAGAATGGGTTGCCTTTGAGTGGCACCTGACCTCATAGGAGTCTGAAGTGGAACTAAATTACAGAGAAGAAAGTCAGCTGCCCTCCTTCAGATCACAAGCTCTCTAGCAGGGGGTTGAGACACTGCTGTTAAAGTGATATTGTCCTCACTTACCTGTCCAGCAGGGAGTCGAAGCAAATGACCGCATTGTCTCGCTGTGCTGCTAGCACCAGACACAAACCATCCATTAAGAGGGACTACAAGAGAGGGAAGAACAGAGCTTTGGTGTTGCTATCCACTTAAATAAGTCTGTAAGCCTTACTGATGAACCGCTGACAGCACAGATAACTGCTTGTGTGCTGTGTGAGGGGATGAAAGTCACAAAGCAACAGACTCTTTCAAATAGGAAGAGTATCATGTCGGAACTGTTAGTTATCCTGCACCTATGGCATACTATTATTCCTGTTCCCTTCTCTCAGAGTGAAAATAAGCAGGTTACTTAGGTGTGTTATTCAGTCACTAAGTCTGCTGGAAGCAGGAATATGGAGATAACAGTAAATGTTGAGATATTGTAGCAGAAACACTTATTACTTGAAGGAGCCCATCTCCCTTCTGCCAAGGAAAAGCAAATGCTGTAATGTTCACCTTTGGCTCAGCAGTGCCAGACCCTTCTGGAAACATGCCAGCTCTGCCCAGAGTAATTAATCTCTGACAGGAGGAAGTTCTTCCATCACCAGGAAAGCAGTGCTGCTGCCATGGCTCTCCTTCCCACACGCTGATTCGCTTTGTCCTTCCTAGAGAGCTGTGCACATTCCTGTGTGCAGAGGGCTGGCATCCTCAGGGGAACCACAGGAGAAGAAAGTAGTGCTTAGACTAATTGGATGCTAGATGTAATTGCTATTCTATACAGATGTACTTCAAAGGGATGCTGTCAGTTTAAAAAAATCACAACCTCAAAAGATCTTACCTGTTCTTATTACAGATAACACCTAAGACTTATAACTGAAAGGCTGGAAGCACAAATGTTTGTCTGTGTTTTTTCAGAGGGACTGCTGGGTGTCTCTGACAGCCCTTTGTTGATTGCTACTTCCAGTATAAGTAGCTTCCCCCCTTGTTTACTCTGGGCTTCTGACAGCACTTTCACTGCTTTGCCCTAGTAAGGTTCCTGAAATGGTGGACTTCTCCTACACCAAGTGCAAAGAGAAAAACAGTCTGGGCCAGATACATTGCTTTACATCAGCAGAGTATCTCCTCACCCCAGAAGCACATCTGATGCTTAAGCCCCGTAAGCACTTGCTCAAACCCCATGCTGGACTGCGGCTTGAGCTGTCAGCACCAACTAAACGAGAAGCAAAATGAAATCTCTGCCTAGGACTCCAGGGCACAGTCCAAAAAGTGGAAGGGTTATTTAGCATTGTAGAAGAGGATTAATGGGGTGCGATTACAGAAAGGGAAATAGAAACTGTATTTATGTGGAAAACCAAGACAGATACAGCAGCAGAACATACATAATAGCAGCAACTGTGCACTGATAGGTGAATGGAATAAAACGTTTAACGGGGATGTGCTGTTCACATTAAGGATACATTCACACATAATGATGTCAAGGTTAGGTGTCAGTGAGCTAGTGGAGATACAGGAACACAAGGTAGGGACTAGCAAGCGAGGCACGTTGCCCACATTACTTACCAGTAGTATTAGAGCTCAGATGCAGTGCTGTGCTAATACTGCTACCAAAGCAAGTTTGCTCAGAGCTAGCCTGGATATCTTAGCACAGCAGGGCATTAAAAGGCTCTTCTTTTATGCAAAGGAAGCAAAGCACGACTCCAGCTGTTTCATACCTTTGCTACAACACTGCTCTTTGCCCTGCTTAGTGTCTCAGAGATGCAGTGAGCTTGTGGTGCATCCAGGACAGTGAGGCGTACTCCAGTCACTGTGAAATCTTTGCCAATAAGCTGATCAAGCAGTTCGACATAAGGTGGGTGCTCTGAACCCCGAAGGATTATCCCAGGCAATACGAGGCAAGTGGTTTGGCAAAGGTTATCAAGCAATGGCCGATCTGATGGGAAAAGATCAAAACACAACAGATGCTTGTTTTATATCTACGCCCCATAACCATTAGCCCTCTAAGTAATTCTTCTCTGCCACAGACAAGTAACTGGAAGATCAGAGGCACTCAGGCATTGCTAGATCGTTTGGGATGTTCACAGATGCAATTGCTCATCCTGAACTGTCAAAATGCTGTATGCCTATGTGTACGTATCTGGAGATCACAAGACAGCAGTAGTGACCCCATTTCAGGAGTCAGACAAGGACAACTGCTGGTTTGCTACAGGAGATACTATTCCATTTAATTTCTTCCAAGCAAAGAAATCTGTTAATCCAGCTGCTTTTATAATCCAAAATGTAATTCTGATCAGCATACATGAGACTTAATGTATTTCATATTTTCCTCATGATAAATCTGTCCGTCCATTAAGCAGCAGCTTTGTGATAATTATTTGCTGAAAGGAGAGGTTTCTTTGTGTGCAAGAGCTACCTCTAGTGTTCAAGATGAGGCCATAAAGTGAATGATGTGTCTGGCTTGCTGGAGGCGCTTACTATATTGTGCCTGACAGTTCAGAGATCACGTGTACTTGCTTTTCCAGGACAGTAACTCTTTGAAATATATTTTCTGAGACACAAACACATCAGGGCTGTACACTGTTTTCCTTTTTACTCTGCTTAGACATCTTCAAAGCAAAGACATCCTCCTGCAGCAGGAAATTAGGGACACACATTTTGAGATTTGCTCCCAGCACGGGGCTGTACAAAGCTTGCGGAATACCTAAGCTCTCTCCACAACAAGCTATTTTTTTTTTAATTTCATTTTATTTTCTGAAATATCTTCTAAAAATCAAGAAGTGCTTCAGTCACAGCAGACCTGTGCTATAGGCCTGATCCTTTCCCATTGTGCAGTAAGTTGATGAGGGAAATACCCTGCCTGTCAGCAATAGCAACACAGGATATTTTGGACTGGGAACACCTGCAAGTCTCCTCTCACTGCAGCTTTGTGCTCTGAACACAGCTTGAGCTCAGATACCCCACCAGAAACACAACAATGTGATCACATCTCTGCTGCTACCCAGACGAAGTCAGAGAGCAACATACAGAACAGCCTGGTCATCTCAAAAAAGCTGCTGTTAACATACTCACAGTTGCCAAGATCTCATTTTGGGACTCATACAATGGCTTGGGAATGTCAGTAATGTTGCGAGATAGGCCTCACTCCTTTCCGCAGGCATCAGTTAAGTCCTAAACCTTCATGCAGTCAGTCTCTGATGTAGTAGTGTGCAACATAAGAAGAGGAGCTTGCCTGAGGATTTGTGATTTTTGTAATGATCATGAAGCATGCGCAGGGCATAGCCCAAAGCCAGTGTAAGACAGGGGAAAGAATTAATGGATAATTACCTTGGGAAAAATCCTCCTTCAGAGACCCCCTACACAAAAGTGACTTGGTGAGTACCAAGCACCTATGCTGTCATTAAGGTAAAGGCTTTGACTTACCACAATCCTCCTTGCACTCATACATGTGCTGTCTCATGCACCTGCTGGTATGGGATCAATGCCCAAATGTCCTGTATCAGTAAGCGTTTAAGGTAGGAGGTGATGGTCTGTAATTCTCTAGCATTTTTATCATATTCTTCTGCCAGTGCACAACAATCTTGTGGTTTTACTGCTGGGATTAACAACTGCACCAATCAAGTGTAGCGCAGGAACGTTTTCTCAGCTGCCCACCCTCCTGCTCGCCAGTCACATCAGAACTGAAGCTACAGGAATAAGAATGACCTGGTTCCCAACACATCTGCTCCCCAGTCAACACCACAGGGATGCTTTACCTGGTCACTTCTTGTTTATAAAGGCTTGGGATCAATCCACAGTATCCCAACATGGAAGCATCCCCATGTGTTAGTTGTATCTCCTGACATAAATGGTGCTGCATCGCAGCCTGTATTGTATACATGCCTATCAAGTAAAATAAACAGAAAAGACCCAGAGAAACTGTAGGCATCTGAGGGAACTGACAGGCTTGCTGAAGCTTCAACTTCAAATCAAAGTCAGACCAGCAATAACTGGAAGTCATTTTGAGCTGGCAGCTGTTCAGCAGCTAGTGGGAACTGAATGAGCTCTCAGTCCAGTTCCTGAGAGTTAGATGTCCATACTGCCAGAAGCACTCCCTGCATAAATTGTTATTTATCTACTCACAGAACAAAATGTCTCACAATCGCCCATCCCTATGGTGCCTTCGCGTCTCCTGTGGCGGGCTTTGAATGGACACGCAAACCGCCGTGGCCAAGTTGGTGTTGAAATGCATTGTAAAAGTTCAGCAGAGAAATGTGCACTGTTGCTTACACTAGCTGTGTTGACAGTGCTTGTTCTTCTGCTGGTGATAAGGTCAGCACTTCTGAACAGCCCTATATTTAAATCCATGAAAGCACTGGCAGTGGAAAGGCCTGGTAGGTAAACAGTTAAATGGCTGGACTCCACTGGAGCTGTTCTTTGCAGCTCAGAGTTGTCTCTCCCTTATGAAAGGACATCAATACCAAATCTTGCTGCCACCAGATGGTTTGTCTTGCTGTCCAATTAATCAATAACAGTCTCAATCTATAACAAGAGTTACGCATTTCCTTACCAAGACTGCATGGTTGTTCAGAGCCCAATAAATTGAGTTGCCCTCCTGTTTCACATTTTATGATCCTGCGCTGCTTGTTGATTTCCAAACTGACTATGGGGTCACGTTTCAGGTTATAGATCTGCAGGAGGGAAGGGAGGGAGAGAGAGGCAAGTCATGTGAACACCATTACCTGATCAGGAAGGATAACACTTCTTAAGTATTGATTCAGGCAAGCTGTGAAGCTCTTGTTGGTGTTGTGTACTTCTGTAATTGCCAGCCTAGAAAACACCTGCTTGTCTAGAGATACAAGAACATTTTGCACGCATTCTTTTTTAGTGTGGCTTAATTCAGTACAGCATCTTGTCATCATTTTAAAGGTCCTATATTCGGACATCTTTCTAAGATCTCTGCTCCCAGCTTTCCAGGGCCAGAAACTCAAGGACTGTGAGTGTCTGACATCTTTATCCAGTGCCACACTGATGTGTAGCAGCTCCCTTCTGTCTCTGAATGAACTGGCACATCCATGCATCCCAGCACAATGCAGTCATGATGCTCTGGACTGAGTTGCAGAGGGAAAGCATCCACATTAGTGAAGCATACTACAGATGTGGCTGGCTGCTTCCAGTTCCAGAGCTAATCTCCTTGGACTAACTCAGCTGGGTCACCTCTGTGCCACGTGGACATAGCAAGGCTCAAAAATTGCCATACCTTCATTGAGTGTAACCCAATCATTTCAAACTCTGGTTTTGAGAAGAAAATGATCAGAGTGGAAATGACATACAAAACTAGTTGAACAGGAAAGACATATTGTTTCATTTTAGCTATTGGCAAATTACAGTGGTTTGAATCAGAGACCAGCAGCTACATAGTGTGAAGGCCAGATGAGCAGGAGTGGGCCACACCAGTACTGGTAGGCTTCTTGGCACTGCCTACAATGCAAACCAAGAGGTAAGAGTCCGAGTCTTTATGCCTCTACCTGCGGGCAGGGAAGGATGCAGGCACCCAGCAGCTCTGTAAACTGCCTGTACTTTACAGCATGAGATGTCTTACATGAGACAGCTCCACCCTTTTCATTGCTGTGGTGGTACTGGTGGTACCTTTGCTGACAGGGCACAAGGGACAACATCCTTGTCACACAAATAGGGCAGTGCTCCATGCTGTGAGCGTGTGGATGTGTACAGACTCTGTGGGAGATGTTCAGCAACCAGCGAGTTACATTATCAGCTGTCCAAATTCATCTCCATTCCTGAACGCTACATGAGAAAAGCTGGTAAAAAACCAAAGCCTGTGGGCCAACTGTGTCTTAGAAATCATTGATGATATTGTTATCCCTCCCTGTAACCTGCTTCCAAAGTGATGTTGACTCTATCTGGGAACTTTGCTACTGAAGTATGAGCCCTCCTGAATTTACAGCACAGGTTACCAAACAAACATATCTAAAAAAGCACTTTTCCACCGAGACTGTCTGGTTCAATACAAAGTTAGCACATTGTGGTAGGAACATTCACAGGAGAAGGAAAACTCGGCAGCTGGTGAAACACAGCAAAAAAAGCATTATCTAAAACATAATAGGAATGAAGTCATGGGATAAGGGCCAAAGCCATTGCTCTGACACAGCAGGATACTTCTCAGGAAAGGGCAGAATCCTACCTCTTCCTCCTCTAATGTCTGACACTCGGCGCAGCACAGTCCTTCTGGGAAAAACAGCTTCATATCCCGGACAGCTATTTGATAGGATTTGGAGCCTGAGAGATAAATACAATGAGAAGATTCTCTCAGGCCATGAATTAAACATTCTCTAGACTCACACTCATCTTTCTGAGAGATTGATGATGTGCAACTTACTGAAGTAATTGCTTTAAAGGCCAGCTGTTCTGTACAGTAATAGCAAACATTTAAAACCATTATATTTAGAATTGTTCCATTGCCTTCTTGGTATTTTGATTCTGTCCTATTATCACTCAGCTTTTTCCTCATGTAAACAAGACTCCTTCTATTTCCTAACACTGTAGTCAAGGGAATCATGTTAAGGAGCCAGTGAAACTCTTCAATACCAGCTCCAATCCCCCATTGTTGTTTCCTTGCTTCTGGATCACATCAGGCTGGTCTTACTGAATAGGAAGGAGCTACTAGTTAGTCAGACAAATGAGCTTAGTAACAATAATGCAAGTCCCAAATATGCTGGGGGCTCTGATTTACAACAGATTTCAGAATTAGTATGAGACATTGCTGATAGCAGTGTATTATTCTATTCACCTATGGTCAAGAAAGGTAAATTGAGACTGGAACAGGGACAGAGAAATAATGTGAGGATCACAGAAGGAATGGAGTATCATCTGAAGAGTTAGAACTAAAAGACCTTGGCTTGTTTGACCCAACATGACACAAAGCTGAGAAGGAATCTGATTTCTGATAAACACATCAGGGTAGAAAAGGTCAGAGAAGAAAAAAGAATTACTTAACATTAAATTACAGGTATTGGCACAAGAACAAATGGATACAAACTGTATATGACTATCTTTAAGTTTGAAAACATAAGACTTCTAGCTATCAGAGCAGTGAAGTTCTGTCACAACCATCCAATTGGGGTGGATGCTTATGAAAGGGAATACATGATGGGGTTGTCTGTGAGAGAATTAACTGAACTCAGTGACTTAAGACGTCCCTCCAGGCTTAGCATCTGAGTATTTCCCTATAAAGCAACAGTGTTATAAAGCACTACTCTGAATGTTTTGAGATTTGTGGGTGGAAGATGTTAGAGAAGAAAAAGCTATTTCTATATAACTGGAGTTCAGATAGATTGTCAATGTGCTGGCACAGATCCATACTCCTGGGATACAAATACACAAAACGCAAACACCCTCTGAAATATTACCACCTTTGCAGGCTACCCATTCAAAGAATCATGTCTTACTGCTCTTAGAGCACTCAGCCCTGTTTGAACTTCATAATTCCAGGTATTGTATAGCCAGAGTCCTTAACGCAGTAGTTTACAATCCTAAGATTGCATAAGTCACCAGTGTATAAGTTGTGCTGGATCCTTTAAGTACCTTTATGTCAAATCTTCCTTGTTTAAATCTTTGATGCCATTACAGAGGACACAAATGCTCCCAAAGCTAGCAACACTTTGCTCAAGGTATAAGACTGTGTAAGATGCATGTGTAAGAGCTCTTTGGGTTCAAGAAAAGGCACTATACAATGACTTCATAAGACCCAGAAGAGATGAGAAGAGTGCAGGTTTACTTCTGCAGCTGAGCCTCAGAGTATTAAAACTGCGTTACTTCATTCAACAGTATCACTGGAACCTGGTCTTCACCTTAACTGAATTTCCTCAGTCACTTTGGGAGGAAACACACAGCTAGAGTTTGCTCTACTTCAGCAAGATAGCATTAACTAGAGATCTTCCTCAGCTGGAGCAAAACTGAAAAAGCTTAGTATTCCCTCCTAGGAAAGGAAGATGGTCTTCCCCAGTACCCCAAATGATTACTCATGCAATGATTAAGCTCTTCCTGCTTAACTTGTAGGTAAATGTTTCATCCTTATTAGAGGGCAAGCTCTTGGAGGTGCAAGGGGTTGTGAACACTCCTTTCCTTATGGACAGACACCTCCTTGGCATAACAGCTGATCAGATTCTTGAGTCAGAGTTAGTGAGTACAGTAGCTACAGCTGCATCCATTATCTTTGAATGTGTGCAAGGATGGCTCTGTGAGCCAGCCATATAGCTGGCTCCAACAGAATGCACAATCTGGTCTCAGAGGGCAGGTGGTGGCCAGCTAGTTCAGCTCTGTGCTCAGCCCAGTCTTAGAAGGAAGCAGGGACCTGAAGGGAATCCCTAAGCAGACATCTGAGGGTTTCTCTAACACAGTGAGCGCTCTGTGGGTCCCAGTGAAAGACAAGATGAGACTCAGCCTCTCTTGCTAATATAAACTAATCTTTAACTGAGTTATGCTAGGGATGCTCTAACTGTAGCAGGAGTATCTTAAGTTTGGGGTATATATTACCCATTCTTAGCTGTGAATGATGAGTTCTCATTCTCAAGGCAACCTGGATACACAATCCATTAATCTCAGGAGCAAAAGCAGCAGGGGCTGACAGCAGAAAAGTATTGGCTGAAGAGCCCTGACCATTTCTTTTGTGTAGGTAGATCCTGCTCTTCAGTCACTCCTACAGATGAGATCCTGTGAGTAATCATGGTCAAAGATCTCTCTCAGTTTAGTCTTGGTCCTAAGGATTATGATCATATCTGATTTTAAAAAAAAAAAAAAAAAAAAAAGGTTCTACATCAAGGGGTTGATTCTCTTCCCCAAGCTGTACAAGGTAGCTACTTCACTCTCTACCAGTTCTCTTCAAAAGACCACTTGATATAGACAAAAAGAGGGAGTGATTTGACAGCACAGGATACAATAGAAGAAGTCAAATAATCCAATGGATCTCAACAGGAAAGTGCTGAAACCTGAAGGCATACAGTGCCTGCTAGCTCTCCTGTGTTCACAGAAACTATTGCTTTTATTATTTTTATATTCCTTTAACTACATATAGCACAATCAGTACCACACTGAGGAAAAACACTATTCATGGACAGTGAACTAATGATGCTTAATTCCTTAGGAATTTTGAATTACATCCTTCTCTCCTTGTAGCAATAGCCCAGGCCCCCTCTGGCAATACCCTCGGTTCTCTATAGGCCACTCTCTCCAGCAATACTTCCCGTTTTCCCATCCCACCCACCCAACATACACACTGCAACATCCTAGTTCCCCTGCTGCTGGCAGATGAACTGTGACTGGTTCAGCACACTGAGGGTGCTGACTAGCTGGTGTGCCGCTGTTGATGTGGCAGCTGGCAAGAGCCTCTCCAAATGGAAAACAGCTGAGTTTACCTGCTTTCCTCAGTGAGAGCAATTTTTGATCACCTCTCTCTAGCCAGTCATTAACGTTTTGAGATGTTACAGGAACTCAGTATCTTGGAGTCTTTTATCCCTCTGTGAAATCTGGTTGCAGTTGGCCAATGGCTTATGAAGTTATCAGGAGGGGACTCACAAGCAGATAGAAGACAGATGGGTTCTTGGGGATAATTACAAAATAACCAAGCTAAAAGTACAAAATGACCAAGCAGTGAAAAGATCAAAGGAAATCTGTTCTGATGGAAGACAGATCTAGGGCTGTTCTGGGAAAAAAACTTTTTTTAATATACCTTCTGGGAGAATATTTCATAGCTTGAGACATACTCAGCTCAGCCACCAAGAAAACAATGAAAGCTTCCTAGGGAATAATGGTCTCTACTGCCTGCCAAGGCTAGATCTGTATTGACAATGCAGGAGGTAACAGTACATAATATATTTTTTTGCCATTAGCATATCTGAGCCTTTGGACTTTTCTTTTACAAAAACCTACCGTAAAATCCATTTTGGACTGTGCTGATGCCATACTGAGCCCTCCAGAGGAACGGATCTAGTGCCTGGGCTAGCTTAGGATCCTCTGGCCCCAGTAAATCTATCAGCTTCTTCACAGCATTTGGCCTCTGAAGACAGAGCACAAGAGCAGTGCCTGAGGTAAGGTAGGTACAATGAGCTTCTAAAACAGCAGAATCCTGAAAAGAAATAACAGAGATGGAAGACGTTACAACGAACAGTGTTGGTGAGCACTGGGTACATCCCAGCTTTCCTTTGGCTAGACCCATCCTTGTTTGAAGCAAGCAGATCTGCCATTACTCCTTGCTTTCTCCCCTCTTTGTAATATACATGCTAGTGGTCTCTGCAGGCAGAGCTTCCAGAATATATACTGTGGCCACCAAGCCAGTATTTGTTGTGACATCCACCAGGTAATAGGCAGTCTTGTTCCCACCCTGAGTCCACACAGAGCTAAAGAAAAAGTTAAGCACTGAGCTTAAGCCATAGCAGCTTGTGGTTTTAGTCCCCATGGTCATAGATCAGCCAATGGTAGTTTTTACACATACAAACAACTTTAGCAGTAGTTTCTTAAAATCTTTTAGTAAGAAAGGAAACAAAATCCTATTTCTAAAGACAGAAAAGCCTTGTGCTGTGACTTGTTCTGCATGTCTGTACATGCTAGGTACCAGAGATGGAGTTCATTGTCAGGGGGTAAGGACAAAAACAATTTGCTACTCTACAGTTCAGTTGTCTACTGCTGAACCTTTGATTGATGCAATACCCTTTTCACTTTACCTTCGGTGTGACATATAGATAGGGTGGAAGCAATGGACATTAGCAATATCAACAGGGTCGTAAATGCTCTGGGATAAGGAGCCATATTTAATTCTCTGGCTGATATAAAATGACAGATTACAAACACCAGAACTTTTCTTTTTGAATTCATGAAAGGAAGGACCCCCACACCCACCCTGCTGCTAGAGCTCAGCTTCTCCCAGAGGGTGGTAGAATTTCATACATTAGTTAGATCAGGACTACAGAAATAGAGAGCTTAAAACAAGGAGGCTCAGAACAGGGTGCTAGATGGGGGCTGAAAGAAAACCTCCTGGCTTTGCCACTGATGCATTGCGCTCCATGACAAATTCCTCTACCTTTGTTTCTTTTCCAAGTGTGGTCAGTTCAGCCTGTGACCACTCCTGAGCAGAGATGTTCCTCTTGTTGCTGTGCAGGTCACAACACCCTGGGATCTTTATTTTAACTAAGGATGAGTGGTAATGATAACTAGCAACTACTGCACCAGTGAGAAGAGTGCAATTTGTAGGCTGGAGACTGACATAATGATTGAGAAGCACGGGGAAAGGTAGCAAGTGCCTGGGGCAGAAGGCTACTAAGGGGCAGCAGAACACTCACAGCCTTGCTGACTGTTTTAATTAAGCAAAACCTTCGAAAGCCGGGCTTGTTGCAGATGTCTCCACTGTGCATGAGGTCAGGGTGTCCACAGCAGCTGCAGGCTGCCTCCCCCTGCCCCCTTCATCTTAATAAAGTGGCAGGAGCACCCAGCTCTGCCTCCCTGTGCTCCACAGTGCAGCAACACCTCTGCTGCAGAGAAGCTCTATGCCAGCACTATATGCTCAGCACAGCTTACAAACAGCAGCATTTTCAGCTCACTGGCTGAACTAAGCCATGGTTATTTACTTTTTTCCAGTTTTTGAGGAAATGAAAACAAGGGGGAAAACCACCACTTGATTCAGCTGAATCACATTATTCAGCCCCCTAAAGGTTTTAACTCCTCTATTATTTCATCTTCTAAAAGCACAAGAATACGGCAATTCTCTAGATAAAACATTTCAAAAAGAAAATCCCATCATTTCATTTAAAAATATGGAGATAAAATACTTCAAGACCTCTTTTGCTTTTCTATCATAAGAAACCATTCACTGACTTTGACCCAAATCATCTCTCTCTCACATTTCTCCTAAACTGCATTTCTAAGAAGTAGGCTATAAATTGAAAACCGTTGGCTCAATCCTGCTATTCTCCCCTGTATTTGAAAATGCAAAATGATCCATGAGAAGCCCCCCATGCTGAAATTGGTTAGTTATGTAAAGGATTTGATACAAGTTGTGATATTTGTCAAAACTCCCACCCCATGGAAATACAGGGCAAATGAAACCCCGGGATGTCAGTCACATCACATGACTGCACATGCGATATGTACAGGTAAGTTTCACAGGCTCTCCTGTAATGAGAGAGTTCTGTTAGGTGAGGATGAAGAATTTCAGCATGTCACAGTACACTGCAAAATTTTGACATTCATTCAGTTCTATATAATACAAAATAAAACCTTTTTGCTTGAAAATTTTTGTTAGTTTAAAAAAATATGTATATAATCCACTTTTCTAAGTGCCTTCTCTTTGGGTCATGAAAAACACTGATGACTTCATGAAAACTTTCAAAGGGACTGGATATAACATATCAACATTCATCCATGTCAGAAACATCTGCAAAAGAAAACGTTCAAAGACATAGTTTCTGTTAAACAGACCATAATAAATGAAATGACTTTGTTCCAGAGCTTCTAAACAGTGCTTTTAGATCTACATAACAAAACCATTTTGTCTCTGTTTCCTGTCTTTCAGTTGTTCCCCAGCAAACGTGAAGACTTTGGGTTAAAGACGACATTGTTTCTAATTGCTACCAATGGTGTCAGGGAGTCAAGGTGACTTCTTTACTTCTGATATATCCTCACATCCGCTCTAGACTCTGCCAGCCAAATGATGCCTTTATTTACATCCTGCCTCCACACCGTCTTCAAACCGTGTCCTTGCTGATACCCGAGCAGCTGCGGCAAGATTGCACATGTGCAGCTGACTTGAATTCAGTGAGCAATTTTGTTGATGCACACAGAGAGGAAGTTCCAGCTGTGCGTTGGCTCTGGAGGACTAACGGGATTAAAAAGCAGCAAAATTTTCCTTCTGCCTCTACCATTAGAATCACAAGATAGGACTGGAGGGAATCCATCAAGTTATTGAGTCCAGTGACCTGTTACTGCAGGCAATCATACCAGGTAATCCCCAACAGAATGGTCAGGTTCCACTGTAAAAATCAACCTTTCTAGCTAGCATGCAAACCGGCAAATCTCTGCAGGACTGGATCTGCTGGATAAGCGCAGAAAGCAGACACAGCCTCCAGGAGCAGAACTCCCTCTGGGAGCAGTCGCTTCTCAGTCTGAACACAATCAGGTCGTGCTAGGAGCTGAGAAGACAATGTCAGCTCTATTTACCTGACCTTTAGTTTTTAAAATTATTATTAAACTTCAGATAAAAAGTATTATCATGGCTCCTGTGATTAGATAACCTCAGCAAACAGCAGACCAATCCATTATTTATTGTACGCCAAAGGCCAAAAGCTACTTAGAAACTGAATGTTAGTATTTAAGTTGAAAAAGCAATCATGTATCTGAAATCATGTTGCTGAGGATATTTGTTGATGTGCATGTAAATAATACATTCGGTAGAAGGAGTTGCTAGGTAGTCTTGCTACCAGTGAATAAGACCCAAATTTCCTATCAAGTACTATGTACACAAAACAAACTGGCACATTGCAGAGCACATGGCAGTTTTCTAGGGATTTCTGGAGATGGATTTTGGATCAGGCTCTAGACGAGGAGATAAAAAGCCCTGGACAGAATTTCTAGTAGGGTCAGACACACTGGCTCCATGTTCTTCAACAGGAGATGCTAAAATTTCAGCAATTTGCCCCCATATTTAGAGCCTCATTTTAAAAACAGCACCGTATCCCATTGTCCCCTAACCTGAGAAACAGATCGACAATGAACATCACTCCAATTCAAATGCTTTATATGAAATTCAGCTGTGAAAAATAGTTGTGCCCCCACCAGCTGCCATTATAACACTTACAATCCAGATTTTTAAAATAACCCAGTCCCTGAAGCATGCTGAGGCTTTTTGAAAATCTGTCTACTTATCTTGGGAGCTCAGCCTTTTACAGCCCTCATAAGTGAAAGACTTTCAGATGTGTTCTAAAAATGAGAAGGAGCCCCTGTACAGCAGAAAGCATTTCCTACTGTCCTTTCCCCCTTGCCAAAGGCAGTCTGTTATCTCTGCCTTCTCACTTCAAAACCTGGTTGTTTTTTTTCCATGAACAAAAACCCAATAGTCTGTAATTTTTAAACTCATTAGTCACCAGCTCTTCAAAGAAACTAAATCAATGCTCAACAGCTGCTCTAGTGTATTAGAGAATTCCAAAAACAAGTAAGAGAAAATTTTCATGAAACAACCTCCCTTCAAATTTACCCTGCATGTATCTGCATTACTTCCTGAGGTAAACATTTGGATTTTTTAAAATGTTTTCTGTTTCAGATGATCAACTAAGCATTTTTGTATTTAGCTGTATGATTAAAAGCCATATGGAAAAGCACTTCCCCATCAACTCTAAGAGACACTATATCCCTCTTACCAGTGGTCTGTAAATATTTAAAAATCAAATGCTTGTGCTCCATTGCTTTGCTATCATGCAGAAGGTATTAATTGTTCCTGATTGATGGTTATGTTAGAGCACTGTCCTGGCATGTTCCTGTCTTCTTCTGGAAGACTCTATTAAGAATTTCTATGAGAGAGTGCTATAAACTCTCCCAGCTTAACCCAAGAGCAATATCGATTATAAAGGCTTGTTTTCTGTAAAAGTTAATTGGTTAAGTGTCTTCATGAAACCAATCAAATAACAAGGATTTTTTTTTCCCCAAGGTGGGGGGGGGGGTGTGTGTGGGGAATCTAATTCCTCTAAAATGCTCAGCTTTCAGTTTCCTGGCTTTCACAGTACCTTTATACTCATCTCGGGATATTTCAGATTGGGAAAAAATTAATTTCTAATGCTATAAAAGAGCAGAAACATAGATCTAGTTTTAGCTAACAAAACCCCATAACACCTCAACATTTAAGAACGATCTTTATTGTCTGTTAGACATTAGAAATGACAGTAACTCAATTTTCTCTCTTTGCAGGTCATTTTTACAGACTCTTAAACACATGCTCCTGGAACAGAGATTCAGCTGTATATGTAATGTAATATAAGGTAACAGGGCTCCAGAGGTTTATATTCTCTGGTAGTGCAATGAATGTTTCCCAGCTCCCAGGTTTAAACACATGGAAGGAAAACCAGGCACATGTGCAGAGGGTGTGGTATGCTCCTTAGATGTGCCCTACCTGGAATGACCTTGGGGAAGAAAGAGAGAACACCTGTTTTGCAGTTAAAGAGTCAGCATTGCAAATTAGCAACTAAACAGATTCCTGGGAGGTCTGTATTGCCCATATCCCCCAAACTTTTGTTTTAGAGAAACCAGGTCTGCTTCTTTATGGCATGCGATAAAAGAAACCATCAGCATGTCAGCTTTCTTTGTGTCTGATACGGGTGCAGATCTGATTGTTCTATATAGCTCACTGCTAACAACAACTCAGAAATCCCGGATGAGAATTTTTGTTTTTTTTCAGGAATGGATTATTCACTAGCTAACGTATTTCCCCACTCTAAACCTAAGCATAGTCACAGATCTGCCAGTTTCTTAACAAACCTGTTTCACTTCAGAAGAAAGGAGTCTTAAGGCAATGTCTGGTTCCAGGTTTATGTGTTTCATCCCAACCACACTGAATTTTTCTAGGTCTAGTTTTCGGAGGATCCTTGCAAGACTATGGCTCCAGGCACCAGGTTTGATCAGCAGCACTGTGCAAAGAATCTGGGCTCCTGTAACAAAGCACACTAGTGAAACCCAAAGCTGCTCCTAGAAACGAATGTAACCCATACAGCAATATTTGTTTACTAGCCTGGACAGACATCTGTAGAAGAGGGTTATCTAAAAGCTGGCATGAAGTTCATAAAAATTTCAACAAAACAAGTCCATAAAAATACCTGTGTGTATAGGATTTGGGGTTTGATTTGTTTTGTTTGATTTTTAGATTAAAAATATATCTAAAACAGTCTAGGCTTGTAGATTCTTCTTTTTTTTGCAAGAAGTCTGCTCTGAGTCCAAAAAGTTTGTGGCAGGTCTGTAAGATAAGACTCAATCCATTCTATTATATAGGAATGTTTTAAAAGGAATGAGATATTCACTTTTACATTTTTCATGTAAACTGTAGTGATTATGTGATATAATCCTTAAGGCAGCTATTAAATTCTTATTCCTCACAGTTTATCTTTCAGTGTTCTATATCTCTCAGAGCTATGTTTCAGAGAGGCACTAACAAGTATGACAGGTCCCAATTAATGTTATAAACCTATTACAAGTAGAATTGTGTTCAGTAAAATTGAAATTTCAGCAAAAACTTTTTGCTTCTGACAAAGCTCTCCCAGCAGAGCTGCCAGCCAGGTGCAGCACTCAGTGTGCTATGAGAAACAGAAAATAAAACAGACCAAGATAGTTTTGCTGTCTGATGATACAAAATGTATTAAAAGGCAGAAAATGCATAAATTTCATTTTTAAATGACAGTATTTTCAAATTATTAATTTTGCTAATCTAAAGTTCCTTATTACTAGGAATATAGTTAAGATTTTATCCTAATGACATCCTTTGAAGATTTAATGGCAACTGTAGTGTCAGAATCAGTCAGCTAGGACCCATTAACTGCTGGTGCCTAACCATGTCAATTAGCATGAAGCATGAGGTAACAGTACTGCAGGCTGCTAAAATTGATCCATGATTATCTACTTGTGTACATAAAATGTCATTTTACATTTCCTGTACACCCCACTACTAATTATACAGACATTGATGCAATGAAGCATCAACAATGCTACATATAATTAATGCATGCTGTTATTTTCAAATGGCAAGAAGCATGTTGCTGATTCATGACACAGAAATACAGGATCAAAAATAAAAAGCAAGATTACTGCCCCCCCACTTCATATGGAAACTTAACCCTTACGGTGCAGCTAGCCCTCCTATTAAAGATCTGCTATTTTCTTCACATCATTCTTGAACAGAAAGGTTTAAATGCCATAGCAACAGCCTGCAAGTGCAGAAGCAAGCCGCTCAGATCCACTCAGCTGCTCGCATGCATAATGGCAATCTTGACTGTATACATTACATAACCGTTCATTGTCCTCAAGATGTTTTACTCACCATCTGCTATGTTTCTGGGCAAACATTCTCATTCTTGTGGTAGGTGAATCACTACATGCTGCATATTTATGTACTTTGTACACTTCAGGAGTGATTTGTCTTATGTTACCTTGCCATCTTGGTCTGGTCAAAGACAAGTGTTGAAAACAGGTGGGACACCTTGCCACCTAGAGTTGGTTTTCTCTCCTCAGTGATTATAAGTAACAACAGTTAGAGAAAATACCGCTATCTATCAATGGAACAGTCTCTATTGATCATGAATTATCAGAGGCACCTGTTTGGCAGCCCTCAAACATGCCTGATTTCCATCTACAATTCTGGCTGTTTAGTGGCCTTTCCAGTTTTGCCCAAGTTGCCTGGTCTTTGTTATGTTTTTCTGCTTTGTAATATTTTCAGATCCCTTCCTCATAGCCAATTATTTTTTCTCCCCAAAATTATGACATAGGTTTTGATTTCATAGTGTAACTGTGAATAATACTGTTTATTTTATATACAATACTTTAGATATGTGTGTGGCTTAAAATAAGTGTGAACTCAAGAGAAGCAAATATCAGATTTCCTGGCATGCTTAGAGAAGAGAGTGTGTATCACTGACTGTATTCAACCCTAAGGAAAAAGTGGGTATAATCCTTTTGTTTATTTTTGGCTGGTACATGTAGACCAGTTAGCTCCACAAAGTTGCTCTTCTCTCACCTGTTTGCAAGTAGGTAAACAGCGCTTCTGCATGACATCTCTGGCTCCCTCCCACTAAATAAGAAAAGCAGACAGATTTGAGTAAGCAGTATGCATGTTCTGGGACAATAATTTGAGAATGTTGCCATCACCTCTACATAATGCAGCCAACATTGATACAACACACTTATTTCAAAGTGTTATACTGGGACGTGCATGGCTTGATTTCAGACATTCAGATGTATTGGGAGGGCCTCGGAGATGTCGTACTTACCACTACTCCAGTAAGCCCAATAGCATATGCTGAAAAGGACTGCAAGTACTAAACCATGTTGATTCTTGGTTATCTTTTCTGTGTATTTCAGGGAGTGGCTAATGGTGGTTTTAAGCTACCTTTGTGCTCCCAATATTACACAGTTGAGTTAGAAGCTGCCTTGTTTCGGGTGTAAGTTCCAGAAGCTCAGGTGTTTTGTTTAATGTCCTGTCTTGTGCCCTTGGAAGCAAAGAAAGGCTGTGTATTCTGACTGTTGTTCAGTCCTTTCCTCAGTTCTGCTGATAAAAACCTCACTGACATTCCTCAAGCAGCCTGGAATGGTCGCTTCAGTGGTTCTTTGTAAGAGCAGACTGCTATAAAAGGAGTCTGGTAAGTCAGAACTTATGACAAAAGCCTATATAAAAATGTTTCCTTCAGTCTAATGTAAAACCTGCAGTGACCTGGAGAGGTGAGGAAAATTTAAGGCACTTCAAGGCACATGTGAATTGAGAAGTTACCTAGGACTGGGGCGCAATGAGGAGAAGCTTGCATCAGATTGATAAAGGACTTCCTTTTCCTGTGATTGGCAAGTTTAGCCAGGGTGACATGCAACGTAGATAACAGAAAACTAAAATCTGTTCATCAAAACAAAATCACCATTCTTTTGTATTTATTATTGTCCGAAATCCTTGTATTTCTATTTCCCAGGGCAATGTATCTGGAAGGTACGTAGCCAAAGTATTCTTTTCTTTTAATGAGACCTTTTTCTCTTTCCACATGCATCTCATTTATTTTGGGGGAATAATAAGAGTACATATAGAAGGTAGAACCAGCTCCAAGGTCCTTGACTCATAACTTTTTAGCTCACATCCTCACAGTACTATTTTTTTTCTTTAGTATTGGGGTTATTTGAAAGAACTTCTAGGATCTGTGAATTCCCTGGTGACTTGGGTGACACTGTAATGCAAATGACAGAGCCCCTGTCTGAGACTTAGGAAATGTGCATTCTGCTCTGATTTCTGTCACTCACTTGTCGGGCAATGGTGATCAACACATTTCACCTCTCTAGGCTTCAATTACCCCTCTGTAAAACATAATGAAACTCATCTTTTTTGAGATCTACATCTGAAAAGGGCTACTAAAGAGCTGGCATTAACTACTCTTCTAGTCTCCATTCCACACCAGCCCTAGATAGGTCATCCAGGCATGCACAGAAGAACTGTGTAGAAGAAAGGTGATCTGGCAATACTACCACCTTCCCCCAGTACCAAGTGGAGCCATCTGGCCTTTTCTTCCTAATTGTCTGGGATTATGATGTCTAACCAAAGGTTTACTAATCCCATTTTAATGACTCTGACAGAGAACATAGAGTTATAGTTTTCTCCAATCTATTTTAAGAGTATAAAATTATTTGTTTTTCTCCAAGAGACAACTGGTACATACTTCTGATTTTACCTTCAGCCCTGGACCTCTTGCCAGGTGGTGGCAGGTATTTCATAGCAAGGCGGTGTTCTGCATCTGTAAAAGGAAGGAGATGTATTTTTATGGATTCACAGATGGGAGACCTTCACTGTTTGCGGGGGTGGGGGATGACAAAGGTAATTTTATTTAGCAGGGGAAATGGCAGACGTTTGACCAGCTGCAAATTATTGAAGAGCTGTTCTCTAGCACGAATACCTCTCCATTCCTCCCACAACAACCAAAACAGGAGGAAAAAATGTAATGACCTTATAAAAGAGTTAGTGCAGGATGCTGAATTCATGCTTCAGCTATGCTCCTTTGTTTTTGACAATGGCTTTCATGTGAAAGGCTGGCACTGTGATTACAACCTCCCTCAATAAACTGATCTGCTTTCCTCTTATCCTGCCTTTTCGTCTCAAGATAACTTTAACAAAGGGCAGCAATGCATGAATTCTTACAGTTTTATACACCAATTTGGGATGTCTGATGACTTCTTTTTTGAAGGCCTCCTCTTTTTGCTCTCCAATCTCATGTAAAACACCCATGTAGTTCACTGTCAAATCTAACTTTTTGTGAGACTAAAATGACCATCTTTTTCCAGACACTATCACATTTTCTTCTTTCTATTCAGTAAAGCTAATTTGTTACTCTGCACTACATAAGTGCTGTGTGTTTGACACAAGCGTCTAAGTTTGTGTTGACAACAAAGGACCTTTCTTCCCCATGAAAAGAGAGGGGAAGAGCTATAAATTACAAAGCATGAATGCACTTACAGAACTGCGTCACTCCTCCTCAGTTGATACATGGTGTTACTACAATCTTGATTTCTCTGTTTCTGAATAATCAGAAATCGTCAGGCTCAGAACTGTTTATCTTTAGGTGTGAGGAGTCAGGCATCCCCAAGAATGGAGATGATATGCCAATATATTTCACATTAGAAGCAAACGGTGGGAGCTCAGACTCTGATGCTCCAAAGCATCCAGTATCAACAACACCATAGTCTGCACAGTGATTTAGTTTAAAGAGGCATGGCTAAAGAGACATTTCTTGCTACAGGAGGAAACTAGCAAGTTTACTGTGCTGAAAGATCAATGCTGGCGTATATCAGTGAAGTCTGAGAAGCTTTTGACAACAAAGGTCTCTGTTCCTCATGAACTGTTCATTCTCTTCCAGGATAAAAAGAAATTCTCAAGAAATCTGCTTTCTTCAGCTCTTGCAGATTGGTTGTACCTTTGTCTGCCTGAGTACAGGGCAAGGCCAGGGCATCTAGCCTCAACGTGTTAGGCACTGCAATTAGGTAGGATAGATCTTGGCCTCTGTTTCTCAGTGTCTTATATACAGAGGCAAGATACATAGTATTACTTACTGGTCCTGCCAGCTGCTGTAATATCTAATTTTAGTATTTATGGAGTCCCTTGAGATCTTCAGAAAGGGCACAAGGCCATGCATAGCCACATTAAATTAATAGGTCAACTTGTAGATGACCTCAACTGGCTCCTGCTGATTTCACATCCCTCGTCATTATTCAGCCAAGCACAGGATTTAACCCCAAATTAAGTTTTTCTGTGACTGAGAAAAACCTGTAGCATTGGATTCCTGTGTCCAAGTTCAATAAATTCACAAACACCTTATACCTGGGGACATTATGAACAGTAAAAACATGTCTTACCAGTTACAAAATCCATCTCTGTGAAGAAGAGGATGGCTTGTCTGAATGTCACTTCTGGGGTCAAGGCCATCACTGTCTCTAGAAGACTGCCACTTTTGCTTAGCTTCCCCCTGCATTGTGTTAATCTTTTCAATGCATCTGCAAGAACTTTGAAGGCATCAATCCGCCGTAATGCACACACAAGGACTGGGTTTGACATTAGTATATCAAGGCTTCTTTGCCAGGAAGTATCTCCAACCTCAAAAGGGGTTATTTCTCTGGCCTGACATCGAGTGAGACGGGGCAACCACTTGAGACTTAGGAGCTCAAATCCCAAATCAAGGTCTTCTGCAAGTCAAAAGAAATCTGTTAAGCATCAGTTGACAGCATGTGTTTCATAGAAGCTGTGTTTTCTTTTGGAGACAAGTGTTCTAAACTCACATTGATTTTTTTACTAGACAACAAGTTCCAAAGCTGCTTTGACTTTGCCCCCCTGTTGCATCCAAAATGGGCTGTAATGCAGATATAGAAATATACTGGGAAAAACCACAAGATACAAATGCTAGGAAATTACATTACAGTGAAAACAAAAAATGGGCTATCTGGGAAATCAACAGGGAGCCACAGAGAATAAGTGCCATGATTTGATTAGAGAACACAGCTAATGGAGAAGAGTTGAAAGGGAAACACTGAGAATACACTGATAACAATGTGGTTTGACACAGTATAATCCATAATTATAGATCCTTTACCACCTCTCATAATATTCTACTTTAAGCTATGTTCATTATAGTAATAAGCTACAATTTAATGCTGACTTGTCTCTAAAGTAGTTTAAAAGTTGTTGTGTTTGTAAAGTAATCTTACTTCCAATGTAGCAAGATATGTAGGGGCTCAATCCATGATTGCATGTTGCTGGAAGCTTCTGCCAGCTAGAATCTTCTCCTCACCTACCGTGATACAGAACTTACTCCATAGTAGTGTTTAAAGAGAGTAGGATACAACATAGTGCAAGACAGGGTGCCAGACTTCTGCCCTTTGTTAGTACACCTTCTGTATTATTGCACTTCGATGCAATCTATATAATGAAATTATATAAAATCATCATCCTGCTTTCCACTTGTAAGCATTTAATGTGGGGGATAGTGTGGTTATTCCTCCTGTGTGCATGAGGAAACAAAGCATGAAGTGGTGAAGTGTCTTGCTTCTGATTACAAAGGATGTCAGCGGTCAGAATAGAGTTTGTGACTTCTGAATTCCTGTTGCTGTGCCCCAATTACACACCTGCTTTATCTCCCAGTACTTAGGGAGAGACACAATGCTCAGGATTACATAAAAGGCTTAGTAAGCCTAAGCACATCTTTGAACTAATTTGACACTCTCTGAAGACAATTATGCCTACCTGAGCTGTTTGCAATATGAAACGTGGCCTTGCCCATGACTAACTAGACACAATAAATTCTTCAGTTCTTTAGGCTGGTAAGCAAAGAAACCTGTCCTCCTTCCCGAGGCCCCTTTCATGGCATTTTTCATAATGTTCCTGCTATGATAAAAATAGCTAGACAGGATAAACTTTCCTGACCAACTTCTACAGCCCTTCCCAAGAGCTTGGATCACCTGCACTCTGAGATTGATTATTGCGCCCAGGAAGAAGGATCTGGTGAAGGAGCTCTCCGGCACTCTTCATAGCGCCCATTCCAACCACCGTCAGCATGACAACTTGCTCCATTTCAGGATCAGAAGCGTATATTCGATTGCAGAAAAGATCCAGAGTAACGTTACGGGGGTCTGGCACTGCACTGAGGTTTCCTCCTACCCAGGGAGATCATCAAAACAAAACTAGTTAACCCACAAAAACAAATCTCAAGTCTTTTTTAGTGTGAAGGAATTGACTAATTCTCAACTGAGCAGACAAAGACCAGTGCCTCACTGTGGTATTGCTCCTCACGCTGCAGCTCAGCATGGCCAGAAAAAGAATCATGCACGAGGAGCAGTATCACAGCAAACCCTTACTTAATTAATCATACTCCTTAACTGGAATTACTTTTTGTCACGTAAAGCTAATATATTCAATTGTAATTTTGATATCCTTATTCACACCATTAAGCAGAGTTGATGGATCAATACCAAAATGATTTAAGGCATCAATTTCAGATTGATAACTAATGACTGACTTCACATTAAATTGATACTTAATTTTGCTTTCTTGGAGATTATATGGCATACAATCGCGGGCTAAACTGGGGACTGTTAAAATACCATGCATATATCTATGGTGTATTGGGAATAGTATAGCCGGCAGAATCCCCAGCCCATCAGAAATGTATTTGATTTCATACTGTTTCACTAGATGATTATTTAAGCAATTTTATAGATTAACATTTATTTACTTAGTTATTCCTACATCTTAACATTTCATAATGCTAGAAAATGGTGAATGACATGCATTTGATTATTATTTTTCCTTATGATTTAGTGAATTTGGTTTTGGAGAGCAATATACTTCCGTTAAAAATCCTGGTATCCAAAATTTAAAATAATTTAAGTAGTTAAATAAAACTGTATTAACCTGCTGAATACATAAGAAAACACTACCTGTAGTTAGTGAAATAAACATCTGATTACCATGACCTCCAAGTGTATAGAACCAGTAGGTTTAAGACTATCTTACCGATTTGAGTCATAGATTTATAATGGAAAACACATTTACTTGCTTTTTCCAAGTCCTATCAATTTCCCAGCTTTCAATGAATGAGTTACTGACGTGAATTCAACTGTATAAACTGAAATTAAGAACATCTGAGTAAAGTGAAATGAAAAAGTGTCTTCTCTGCACCTACAGAAGAACTACAGCTGCCAACATTTATCACTTCAGCAAATTCTATTTTACACACTTAACCACCAATTTATCTCACTTTAATACTTTGACTTCTTTTGAAACTATGGCAATAAATATGTATTGATTGGATATTAATCTTTTAATTATGGTAGGTTTAAGGCTTAATCGGTTATTACCATGGCACATTTAAATAATTAATTTTTCCACATATTTTTTATTTACTTTAAAAAGGTATTTCCATTTTGTTTTTTTATTGATTCTTCCATTCATTACCCAGCAACAGAAGACATCCAATGAGAATTACTATGATTGATGGGCAGCAGAACACTAAACGAGTTGTTGTAGACAACAAGCATATTCCTAATGTTCTTATTCAGGAAAATCCCCTAATAAGGTTGCCAGACCTTATAAAAGCCAGAACAATGCATTTCCCATAGGTTTCACCTACCCAGTGTCTGCAGCAAGGTCTCGGTGTAAGGAACTACATGAAAACACATAGAGTCGTCCAGCCCAGCAGTGGCAGGCAGGTTGTTCTGCCCGTTGCCAAGGAGGCCTTGCTTTGCCAGTCCATTCATCAGTCCTATGCACAGAACAAAAGAAAATGTGAGGAATACAAAGCTCTGTGATGCAGTCTGACATGAAAACACTCTTTTTATCAAATGTTTTGCTTCATCTGACCACAGTTCCATTACAGAGACATTCATGTGGGTCATGCTGAGCTTACCTAAGAGACATGAAATGCAACTTAATCATCCCCTCTCCCTCAAATCATATTCACTTATAGTGGAGCAAGTAGCTGTTGAAAATTGAGGCTTGGCCACAGCTTTGTCTGGAGACACCTCTGCTTCATGACCAGCACCCCAGTTGTTCCTATTACCTTCTAACTCCTGATGTGAACTGAAATGTGGAACAAATGCATAGAAGAAGCTACACAGCTCTTGAATTATAACAAGTGTCTTAAATAGGTTGGTATCCACAAGGAAAAGAAGTCACAAATCTTGAGCCCAGTGCTCGAGTGCAGGCCCTCAAGGTGCCCTGCATCCTACACCGCACCATGTGGCCTCAGAGGCGTTGCTAGGATTACAGACCTGAACAGAAACATCATGTTCTGCTCATGTAACTCCCAGTCTGGAAAATATCTGATTCCACGCCACTTTTACAGACAGTAAGCGCTTGAAACTAGCAATCTCTCAGTTCCTGTTCTTCCTCCAAAAGGCTGGGCTATGCATAGGCAGTGCATTAAGGTACTGCCATACAGTACACTGCCACAACAATTGGTTCAGCCTTCTGTAATAGTATTTCAGACCACAGTTTTAAAGGCTTATTATTTTTTAAATTACTTTGTATACATTTGACTGCTTTCTACCATACAAGCCTGTCCAAAATTTACTGTAGTGTAGTGTGGGAAACAGATTATTAGCACTAGAGGCTGATGGCAAACCTCAGACATCAAAAGTAGCACTGATGAAATTTGAGCTTCTACCACTGATAATCACCTATCTGCTTCTCAAAATTCAGGTGGCATGAGTAACCAAAAAATGTGCCATCACTGCTACAGCAGCATTACCTGCTGTTTATTCAAACTCAATGCACGGCAAAAAGTAAAGCTTGGACAAAAATTTATGGTGTTTGGTCCTCAAGACAGAGATCCATTACCCAAACACACCTATCTATCCATCTGCTCTATTTCAGGAACAATTGTTGAATTTTTCTTGCTTTGAAAATTGATTAGTATTCAAGACCTTGAAGGGGTAACTGCTTTTCAGGGGTATTGATTACAAATGCAAAACTTCTTAGTATGGTATTTACCCTACTCAAATCCTAGTGCTATTCTACACTTCCCAGAGACCAAACCATAGCTTATGTGGCAAGAATGTCAGCTTCCCCTCCCCAGGGCTCCAGAATATGGAATAAGGTATCTCTCTGGATCAGTTCTGAAGCAACCACAGAACACAGAAAGAGGCATTTGTAAAATCTGCACGTATTGGAAAAAAACACGAGTTCTCTACAGTGAGGGAAAACATTTTACCTTTCTGGAATATCCTTTGTTCCGGTGCCCACCTATATATTTCTAGTGGAAATTTCCCCATGCAAAACATGAACACCATAAACATCATCTGGGGCACTCTGAGAAAAGCAGCAGAAACTGTACTTCTTTAATGAGCAACTTTCCTTGGGTCTACAGGCAGCAGGTGACACGGTGCTGTAATTAGTGTGCCATGATTAATCCACTGTGTCTGTATGTGTTTTCAGAACATTCTGTGACAGTCTCAGGAGAAAAAGCAGAGGACTTTTTGAATCGTCTTTTTTTTTTTTCCAAACCTCTAAATGTTCTTTCCTACGGTGGATAGATTAAAGGAAGCAATCGGGCAGTGGACGAATGTCTCCTTCACGAGCTATTTGTGGTGGTGTTAATGGAGGGGTCAGCAACAGTGATCCTCTTCTCTCAGCAGTGGTGTCTGAAGGGGAGGTTGCAGGAAAACAGATGCAGGAATGGACTCTCCTGCTGCAGGCAACATGCCCACTGCCAGAGCAGGATGAAGCAAGCAAGGCAGGTTCTTTGTTCCCTACTGATCACTGCTGTTGCCTATGATCTTCCCGACTTGAGACCAATGTCAGCTCATGCTTAAGAAAACCACATAACTCTTTTCCTGAACAAGAGTCTCGGAACAGAGTCTGACTCAAGTAAGATTTGGGGCAGCAACTTGTCTGTTTTTTGGCAGTCCCTACATATAAAATGAGTTACAGTTCAGATGCTTGGAAGTCACAAGTATGCAGAACTCAGGGCTGAGGTTGACAGGATCAGCTGCTATCCTCAGGCTCAGTGGCACATACATATTTTTGCTACCCTACCTCTCTGTGCAATAAGAATACCTAACAGAAGGTTATTGAGATGATGAAGCCAGGCCCGTTATGGAGGTGTACAGTGGTTCACAAATTCAAACAGAGGAGTTTCCAACTTGACATAAAGGAAAAACAGTTCCCCATAAGAATGGTCAAGCATTGGAACAACAGCCCAGAGAGGCAGGGGAATCTCTGTCCTTGCAGATTTTCAAGACTTGACTGAAAAAAGCCCTGAGCACCCTGATCTGAATTCATTGCTGATGCTGTATTGAGCAGGATGTTGGATGAGAGACCTTCCGAGGTCCCTTCCAACATGAATTACTCTATGATTCTAAGTTCAAGAGGACTCCAGTGCTCAAGATCAAACAACTGACAAAGATCAATCTGCTCTGTTGGATATGTAGTAGTGACTGATTTACATGTTGGTCTGGAGATACATACAGCAAAACTATCAGGCCCTGATATTCTCAAAAAATATGCCCTGCAATGTAACAGCTGTGGTTAGATTGTTAATGTTTCTCTCACATGCACTGAAATGCAAACCTTCTTTTCCAAGGTTGTTGAGCAGTGAAAGCATTACCTTTTACCAATGCAGGAATGTGATGACTAGCATTCTCTTTCCTCAGCAACAAAATGAGACAGTGCATGCGCGGTTCAGCGGAAAGCTCTCCTCTTGCAGAACTATCAGGTGAACTTGAAATCTTGCTAGGGCAAAATACAGCAATCTGAAATAATGAGGGCCTGATTAGGCTACTAAATCCAGATGTAATCACTATAGAGCTCAAGCAAATAGTTAAGTTACAATGGCATAACAAGATACAGCTCACCAGCTGAGCCATAGTAACTTCCAATAACTGGGTGTTCATGCATCATCTATTCATGAGATAGAGAAACTTAATTTAAACCTCAGGGAAGAGGCTTAACATAAAAATGTTCTGCCCTGCAACTGGGCTGGACTAAAACCACAACAGTTATAACTCAGTTGATATGTGGTACCATCCTAAGTCACTCATGCAAAAATGATCTTGAGTCCTAAATGAAGGGATGATTTTTTCATAAATATTGAGCTTCAAACAGCACTTGAAGCAGTAGTTGCTGCTGCTAACTTCTTAAATGGCCATTTAGGAGCATGCTCCAAATATTTGGCTATTTGGGCCAAATGTTCCATACATAAGTTGTGTTTATTCTACAAAACATTATGGGCAGGTAAAGTATTATTCCTCAGGCTTGATTGCACAACAAGCAGAAAAGAGGGGCTTTGCATACAGTTTAATTTGCAAAATGATGCATTTCCTGATTGACACAGCAAACAACCGTAAGCATGATAATTTAAAGTAAGGGGTCCACTCCTTTTTAAGAGAAAATGTTATATGATTCCGGGGTGATTTATCATGTAAGAAGTGCAGAACTGGACTTCTTGCATATGTTAAGTTTGACTGAAATCTTGCATTTATGATTATTGCTGTTTCCTTAGGCTGACTTGTCAAAACGCCAACTGCACTCTAACTCAAATCTATCATCATGTTAGACAGAGCTTCAGAGAAAAAGAAAAAGTTGTTATTTTTGACAATAGGAAAGCTCTTTTCGCAACCCATCTGGAATGCATTAAACTAGGGGACTTCATGCTGACAGGCCATAAGCAGTCCCAGAGGGACTGCGAAGTACCTAATCAAACATCAGTCTGTTAGATGAAGACTATTCTCCTGAATACACGTTTGCAGATCAGAAATTGTTATTTTGGTTTATGGGGCTACTGCCTGCTCTTGCTTATTTTGAGATCAATGGCAAAATTCATGTTTGCCTTAGTAGGAGGAGGCCTGATTATGAATTTACACTTTTGTTCTCAGTGAGAGGCTGAGGCCTGGTGGGATTTTCCTACTAAAGAAAAAAACAGCACTGAAAGCTGAGTACCACTCACAGGAATACAGAGAACATGAGTGCTGGCTAGCTAGTAAAGAGGGAATGAGTGTCCCTGAGGACACTTACTAGAGGAGCGTTGGACCACACATCCATAAGCTCACAGCATAATTAGTTTCAGAAAAACTGGTAACCCAAGGTATACAATCAAGCTGTGTGTTCTGTCCAGTACCTGACTTGTTGTCATGCTCAGCACAATGGCTTGCTTGGGTGAAAGCTGCAGCTGTCTGACTCCTTGCAGGACAAACCCCCGATGAGTACAGACCGAAATCACATTACCATATGCGTGAGGAGATACCACAGGTGACACCATCAAAATGATGTCCCCTAGATCAAAAAGAAGGTAAGAAAAGTAGCATATTATTTCCACAGAAGCTGTGGTATCAGTGCAAGGCAACTCTTATATTGGCTAGTTCCAACTTGAAGCGCATTCCAAATGGTGACACTGTATTTTATGGTTTATTTGCTCTATCCAGCTCATAATGACTGCTATCGGAGGCCAACCTAGAATGAAGAAGCTTATGGCATCATCAGTAATGTCTTTATGAATCATCTACCCCAGATAGTCTGTCTCATCAGGTCTATCTAGCTATCTATGAGCTGTTGGTCTATCTTTGAGGTATCTGTGCTCTCAGTTCATGTGCTAGCTGTATGTCAGCCCCTGCCAGGCTGTGTTTGAGCTGTTACCCTTACAGCTGGCAATCCAACAGCAGTTGGTTCCCTCAAGGGCTAAGGACCTGATAAGCCTGGCCACACTGATAAGCAACTAAATAAGGTCAACAAGACCAACTGGCAATTTGTCCACTACAAAGTGCATGAAGCAAGCCCAGCCATTCCTCTCTGCTATTATTGGTGGTCCTAGCCTGTAGCTAGCTTCTACAATCTTGTTCAGCACTACCTTCTGTTTCCTCTTTTCCCTTCTTTAGTCCTGTCTTTAACCTTCATCCTAGACCTTGCCTTTTGGCATGGTCTCCTGAATCTTTGGACCAGCCTGTGATCATGACCTCACCTCACCCCACCCTCTGGTTTGGCACCATCTGTGGCTTCACAGGTTCCTGTACTTGGTCATCACGATAATGGTACCAGCCTGCTCTCTCCTACCTGATTCTCATCCACTAGGTCTGGCTGCTCGTGCTCTCCTTGTATCCCTCATCCCAGTAGGTAAGGTTGTAGAAGCAACTGGAATTTATGTTGGGTTACAACCTTGGGTTGTTAGACCCCTGTTTTCTAAGTTGAACCCCAAGCTCACTGCCAACAGGGTGGCAACACATGCTATGAGCAAGCTCAGAAGAAAGAGCCTACAAGACCTCCTGAGCAGTTTCTAAGCCTCATCTTAGGTACTACAGAACAAGCTCAAGACTTTTCCCTGAAGCCTTTGATCTACCTGAGGTCTTTGGTTTGTTCTAGTCTCATCTTGGGTCTCTGTTTTTACCATCACCTGCATTATTACACTGTCCTAGTCCTCATATAGCTTTTTTCTTTACACAATGTACATTCAGATCTCCATAACCTGCCAAGAGTGAGCTCTGAAGACAAATCCTCAGTATCACTTCCACCTGGGTTTCCTCTACAATGCCCCATTAATTTCTCTTAACTCTAACCGAACAATATAACGAGGCTGGTGTATTTTAGTTTCTGTGTCCCAATTACACTTGGTTTTGGGGGTAGGACTATCAGCAGTGAATGTTTCTTTCGGTTCTAGACTTTGTGATATGGATATCTGTCACCCCCAAATCTGATCAAGGCTTGGTCTAGTAGTTCAAAGCAAATGCAACAAAACAAAGGAAAGCTTGTGTTTACTACTAAGGATGGAACAGGCAGAGTGTTTCTTTGCCTAAAATTTCTATTTGGCTTTATGGCTTTAATTTTGCAGGCTTTGAGCCAGACTGACATTAGTGTCACATTCATTACATGTGAACTGTCAAAATTTAGGGTTGCAGGTGGCAAGATTTTGGTTCCTCCCTAGTTGATAACACTTTTTAAAAAACATTTTTCACATACACATATGCCAAATCAACAAGAATACCTGCTAGGGTCAGCAAAACTTTGATTACTGAGAAGGGGCAGATATACCTGGTGAGAGCTTAAGTATGTTTGTTTTGCATGCGTGTATCTTCCTGTCTCCAAGAGAAGCTGCTGGAGACCTGAGGGAAGGAGTCAGTGAATGTTTCCTTTCCTTAAAATCCCATAGGGTGTCTGCTCCCAGACCAGATTTGTCAGCTTCTCTTCTGAGAGTCATGATACAGTTATCTATCTGAGGAACAAAACTTGAAATTGACTTCCTGAGCCCAAATACAGATGGAACATGGTGTGGTGTAACTCAGCAGCCCACATCAAATGTGAATCATTAATGGCCATAAAAGGAAAGGGACACAGAAAATGTGCCTCATTCCATCAGCAGCAACCAGCTGCCATCAATACCAATCCCAAATAACACAGAGCCAATGGCTGTCTGCCAAGCTACCTGAGTTAACATGCCCAGTTATACAAAAGAGTGGATCTCAAAGGTAAGACTTTTTTTCCTTTCTCTCTTCTCCATTTTCTTTCTGTCACCCTCTCTGGCACTTTCTGCTCCTTTCATCTTTGGCTTATGCTTTCATTCTTTTATCGTACATTCTTTCCTTAGCAATATAGTTTTCCGTGCCTTCTTTCTACATCAGTACAATGCTGCTTTCCTTCTGCCATCTTCCCCCCAACAGCTGCTGAGCTTCCACTCCCCTCAGTTTTTTTTCCTGCAAAACTATCTTCAATTGTGGGAGTAGACACCAGACAGCAATGGTCTAATAGCATTGTCTAAAAATCACTCGTGCCTGAGATCTGCTGTGCCAGGCCCCACTACAGAAGATTGTCAGCACATTGGCTTTCTACAGCAGACACCCCTATACCACACAGATCCTTCTTACCCAGTTATAAGGCCTGCAATGCCTTGGCAGGTTTCCCTCAAACACAGTCAGCTTGCTGCTAGCTAGATACAGATTCAGAAGCTGGAAGACTACTCCTACAAAGGGAAAAGGAGGATTTGGGTGGAGCCAGGTGATAGCCAGTTAATATTAGCACCATGAAGTGCTTTCCTTCCTGATTGTGTGGTCAGTCCTGCCATGAATGAAGTCTTAACCATTTCACACTCACAATGATTATATTCAACTCTTCACCAGCAGCGGTAGATGATCTCTAATCAGATAAACATGCAATTTAAGGACACTGTTAGGTCTTCTCATGACTCTTTCTTTGATGAACAGACCCCTATGTGCACAGATTTCCTGTGGGGTGGCTTTTTTGGTTTTTTTTCTTCCTTTTTTTACCCCTCAGTGAAATCTAAGCAGCCTACAGGACTCTAGCAGCTACTCCCATGAGGAGGATGAGGTGATAACACTCCTTTGTCACTTCATTTTAGGCCACAGTGTTTCACTAGAAATTAATTCCTGGCTCTAGAACTGGCCAGGTCACAGCACTGAGCAATCCAGGGAGGCAGAATTTCCTGAAACAGGTGGGCTGGAGTAAGGTAATATTGTCAGTGAAGGAGAACCATAAGACCTCAAGGTTCATTCCCTAACACTGACCTTTGGTAGTTGAGACAAGCATCGCTGGAGGTCGAGACAGCACGATGCCCTGGAGATCAACCTTTTCTTCATCTGCTTCTGCCCTAGTTGATGAAGGACTCTGAGAGCTAAAGAAAAACAATAAATATTAAAAGGTGTTATGCCAGGTTCTGACTCAAACCTACTTTCTGCAATAAACCCAGGGCCACAGAATTTTCTCTGGTAAAACTGTTTTACTGGAAAAGACATTTAAATCCCTTGTCTGTGACATGAGCTGCATCAAGTTCTCTCTGACTGAACATCTTTTTATATTACTCCCCCCGAGGCTCTCTGTGTTCAATTAAAAGCAGCTAATGCAAAGTAGCCAGCTTGGCAAAGAAATCTGGGAATCACAAAGTATGTCAGGCTGCATTACCAGAGCTTTTCCTACCCACAGATACATCACAGTTGCTATTCACTTTTGGTTCTTTAGCCCAAGTTTAACCAGTTTTAAAGATTCATGTTGGGCAACAAGCACAATCAAGTCTGGCAGAGACGTTCATGCCAGTGAAACCTCTACAACATTCCTGCATACCCAAAAGGACCAAATTACAGTACGGTGAACATAAGATGTGGTTCTGAAAGCCAGGGACTGACAGCAAGGCAAACTGCAGTCTGTGAAACAGTTTGGCTAGCTCTGTGAAGTGGTGAAGCACAGGCTGCTCAGGCAAACCTGCCTGCCTTATCCCTTGCCATAACTGAGCTGGTTAGAATACATCTTGCTTGTTCACCCCCAGGAGACCATGGCATTTGCAAGTATAATCAGAAAACTGCAATCTGAGTTGCAGTTTGTATTCTTGTCTCCCAATGGACAAAATTACCAGCATTAGGAGAAAGGCCAGTGCATTATTTAGTATGTAGCACTGCTCTGGACTGGCAAAGTTATACCAGAGGAGCAGAATTCATCATCTTTGTAAGGGGAAAAAAAGCATCCCTGAGGAAAATAAGCAAATAAATAAAGAGAATGAAACTTTGCCAAATTGACTTTTTTCAAATCTTAAAAGTAAAAATTATGAGAGTCACTGTTCGTGGCCAAACAGAACTGAACTCTGACACACACTCCCTCCAAGAGCATCAGATTAATTCTACATGGGTGTACTTTGCCACTCTGCAGAAAGCACCTACAGGACTGCAGATTACCTCACCTCTAGCCTGCTGTCACTGACACAGTGTGCCACACCTCACCCAGTATCAGAAGGTATCTTTAAAAACCTGTCCAGAACTTGCAGGTGCAGGGCCTTATCTGAGCTTTCTGCAGGGGAGTTTCACCACAGCATCATTTATTCAGTTCAGCAATATTAAAAAGAGATGCCCAGGGCCTGAAAACCCCAGTGCAGAGGCTGGCATCCCATGTGATTACACAAGCCTGTGACACAGACATGACAGCCAGGGAGAGGAGACCTGTAGTTTGATATTTTCCTGGTTGGTGCAAATTCCTTGAAGCCCTAAGCTAAATCTTTTGATAAAGCACTGTAAAACAAATGCTTCAAGCCACAGATGCACCTGTGCTTGGAACAACCAGAGGGTTGTCTTTCAGAAGCCAAAACCAGAAAAGTGCCTCCTCTCTTCCCTCTGCAGGCCAGCCTACTCCGATCCTCCAGAGGAACGGGACCTCTGACCACAGTAGAGCCCTTCATTTACACACACAGGATTAAACGTGCTTCCTGGGTGTATTGGGTTTGTGTGGCAAGGTTTGGGTAGCGGGGCAGGGTTACAGGGGTGGCTTCAGTGAGAAGCTGCTGGAAGCTTCCCCTGTGTCCGACAGAGCCAATACCAGCTGGCTCCAAGACGGACCTGCCACCAGCCAAGGCCGAGCCCATCAGCAATAGTGGTAGCGCCTCTGTGATAACACATTTAAGAAGGAAGAAAAAGTTGCGGGGCACACAGAAACGGCAACTGGAGAGAGAATTGAGAATGCGTAAGAGAAACAACCCTGCAGACACCAAGGTCAGTGAAGAAGGAGGGGGAGGAGGTGCTCCAAGGGCAGGAGCAGATATTCCCCTGCAGCCCATGGTGAAGACCATGGTGAAGCAGGCTATCCCCCTGCAGCCTGTGGAGGACCCCACGCCAGAGCATGTGGGTGCCTGAAGGAGGCTGTGACCCCGAGGGAAGCCTGCACTGGAGCAGGCTCCTGGCAGGAACCTGCAGATCTGTGGAGAGAGGAGCCCATGGAGCAGGTTTTCTGGCAGGACTTGTGACCCCGTGGGGGACCCATGCTGGAGCAGTTCATGAAGAACTGCAGCCTGTGGGAAGGACCCACGTTGGAGAAGTTTGTAGAGGACTGTCTCCCATGGGACGGACCCCACGCTGGAGCAGGGGAAGAGTGTGATGAGTCCTGCCCCTAAAGAGGATGAAGTGGCAGAGATAATGTGTGATAAACTGACCGTAAACTCCATTCCTCGTCCCCCTGTGCCACTGGGGGGGTAGGTAGAGAATCTGGGAGTGAAGTTGTGCCCGGGAAGAAGGGAGGGAAGGTGTTTTGAGATTTGGTTTTATTTCTCATTAACCTACCCTGGTTGATTGGTAATAAATTGAGTTAATTTTCCCCAAGTTGAGTCTGTTTTGCCCATGACAGTAATTGGTGAGTGATCTCTCCTGTCCTTATCTTGACCCACGAGCCCTTTGTTATATTTTCTCTCCCCTGTCCAGCTGAGGAGGGCGGAAGCAATAGAACGGCTTCGGTGGGCACCCAGCGTCCAGCCAGGGTCAACCCACCACACTGGGTCCTTAGGTTTGAGTCTCTGTCCAGGAAGTTGCAAGATTGTCAGGAAGGGAATTGCTCCCTGTAGCACTACACAGCAGAGCACAGATAGTCTAGGTTGCATGATGGATTAACAGATGCTTCAAAGTCCAGTTCCCTCTGCAGCTACACCCAGACCCATCTGAGAGTGAGATTCCAGACTCCTGAACCTCACTTGTTCCCAGCACTTTTTGGCACCCTATTGCTATGCCATCAGCTCCTAAATTGCATTTCTCACACCAGCTGCTAAAGGTTTATAAGCCACCCTTCGTTTTCACACACTTTTGTCATAATCCTCCAAAGAACCTTTTCCGTCTGAAGCCCCTTATCTCTAATCAGTTGATATGGAAGGGACGCAGGGCAAAGGTAGACCAGGCTTTCTAGCAAAGGGCCACACAGTGGCACACAACCTTGCAGCCCTTTTCCAGCACCAGGCACAGTTGGAAGAGGTCTCAAATCAGTCTGACCAGCTGTATCTGGAACAGCAGGCCCAAGAGCAGGTGCTACAAGTGTATGAATTACAGGCCTAGCTACCAAGGAAGCAACTGCAAGAGTCCCACACCTGACACATCTGTTATGTGCCACAGATGAGGCGCTCCTGTGAAAAACGGATTTTTGCAGACTCTAGTAACTGGTTTGGAAATATAAAGCAGACAGATTGCTCCCACTCTGAACTCTTGCTCACTGAGACCTTTAGCAGAAGACTGATACGTAAAGACAAAGAACGCTAGCTGCATGCCTGCCTGGCCTCCATGTCACACAGCCTGTGGGAACAACCACAGTTCAAAAACATCCAGGGCAATCACCTTGCTGTGTTGCATTGGGAAGCCAGATCCAGAACACCAGCATGCAGCGCTGCATCAGCATCCCTCCCTCCAAACCAGAGACACAGCTCCCTGTGCACACGGTTGTCCAGGTGGGGCAGGTAGACGAGAGGCTCCGCTTGGCTCCTGCAGTAGATGGCATTGATGGAACTGCAGTCCGTCATGCTTGCCAGCTGCGGGTCAGATGGCCCAATGATATTCTGCAAGGTGCTACGTGCTTTAGGACCTCTCACACCTAATGCCAGCACTGGTGGCACCTTGCCGGTCTTTGAAGTATAGGAAGAAGGCAGCTTTTCTGCAAAAGACAAACATATGTGTGACTAAAACATGGAACAACCTGCCCCAAGGTCATTCATTTCACTCAAGTGCTTTCTTCAGATCTGTCATAGCCAGACTTCAACAAAGTAATCTACGGGTTACCTGTCCTGTAGGTGATATGCTGGCAACCAGCTACACATTTTTACCCAACAATAAATCTGAGATTATTCAAGGTAGTCTGTTAAAGAAAGAGGAGTTGGTTGCCTCATATTTGCTATGGAAAGGAGTGTGCACAGGGTTAGTTACTATGAAGCAGCTGATACACTAGAACTCAGCACTTTGACTTCTTGTGCAGTATGTTGTTCATGCCCACAAGGAAGGCTGGGGGATTGAAGCAGAGACAGGACAAGAACATGGGCCTGAGGAGAAGGATGTTTTCTGTAATTTTCATGAGATATGGGAAAGCTGGGAAGGGGATCACAAACTGGAAATCTGTGGACTTCTTTTCTAGATTATTTCCTTCTGTATCAAATACAGACTTTCATACTATGTTGTAAGATGACATATCCAGGCAAATATTTGATTAGTCACCCTTATTTCCCTGCCAGGACTTGAACTGTCGTTTGCCTTATTTCCTGCAACAACTCTTCCTTATACCTCTGGCAAACCTTTCTCCATGTCTATTGTCAGCATAGTTAGGGTCCAGTCAGTAACCCCAGGAAAAGAGCAAATTTGGCTCCTCTGCAGTTCTTACTGCAGATGTTAGAAATAGCAGCAAGGTGTGTCATTTTCTTCCCTGAGGTTTAAAAACATATTCAATTACATCATTTGTTGCATAAGAATCAGAAGCCAGAACATAAGTCTCCAGAGCAGGTAGCTAATGGAGAAGCTGGCTGTAAATATTTAAAATAATAATTTTAAAGTTTTCAAGCTAAGGGTAAAAATCTAATTTACAAACTCGCATAGCAGTTCTCAGCTCAAATGAATTGTCTCTTCATACAAAATGTTCCTAAATAATGGTGCATGGTACAGAGCATTGAAGCAGATCTGCTGCCTGTCATCTCCTAATGGCTGGTGATTTTATGGTTTTCTTATTCATTTCTGGAGTCCTTCTTCATTTCTTGAGCTATCAGTATGAATGCATTACGTGCACAGCGCTGAGACAACTGCAACCGCAATCCCATTTCTAAGGCAGACTGCTCCTATTGTTTTCAAATGTAAAAAGAGGCAGGGACGCTGGAGAATTTTTCTCTGATTGAGCTGGTCTTCACTCACCTTCTGCCTGAGGAAAAGGGAACCCATTTCTCTCACTCACCCTGCCTATACCTTTCCCCAAGAGAAACAAATTGCCTGTATTCATGATGGTGTCACATGCAAACCTTCCAGGAGAACTTCTTGGCTTAAAAGAAAGTACAAGCCATACTATCCTGCAGCAGCAATCTCTATACTTTGCAGCTAATGTTGCTATAGAGTTATATTGTATTAGCAACTAATAATATTCCATACATGCTTTAAGGCAGGCTTCATCCTCTCTGTTTCACAAATGGAAAAAAATAAGACTTGAGTGGTACATGCCAATATTTGCAAATATTGGTGTCTAATGTTAAAGACTTAGTGATTTGAATTCAGAGACACGTATCATTTTTGTTTACCTTATCTTCTTGGTCTCCCATCTCAGACAATCTTCTACTGGCAAATGTGACATTTTAGTGATGGCTTATAAACCAATGCAATTACAGGATGGCTAGATCAGTACTTTTGCCCATGCTTCTGAAGTCCCATAGGCAATAGGATGGGGGGAATTGTGGAAGGGGAAGGCTGGATTTTCCACAGCTAAAACCTTCAGGAAAATCAGTGGGAACTAATTTAGTATATTTAACTCATACGAGCCTAACCCCAGAGTTTAGGGCACTGCAATCTGGGAAAGATTGCTACAGAGGGGAAAAAAAAGCTAAAGTGGTTTGAGACACAAAAATGTATCGAGGGTTAAAAATTCAACTCATGGATATTCAACACTGCAAATAGAAGGAAAGAAACAGCCCAAGATCTTTTATCATGTCTTTTGGGAAAGATACAGAAACTGATAAAGCAACACTAATGTAAATCCAATACCCCCCTCCCCCATGCCCACAGCACCACATCACTCTTCACCTTAGTACATTTACAGATCTTTGCCTTCACCTCAGTATCATCACATGATGGAATCTCTGAAGGAAAACTAGATCTCACCTGAGCTAAAGAGCAGCACATCCTGCTGAGGATAGAGCAGGCGGAGTCCACAGATATCCAGACCAGAACTGAGTACCAGCTGCAACATGTGATGGGTAGCTAGGGGACTTCGGTAGAGAGTTTCAAACAGCAATACCATGGCAACCTGAACAGCAAGAGCACATTGGAGAAATGAACCAAATGCTTCCAAGCCCTCAACGACCACACAGCTGTATCTTTTCTGCTCACCTTTAGTTCCCATGCTTCATCTACATTGTAAGAGGTACAAAGAGGCTTTATTTTATGTTTATGTGCAGTTCAGCACAGTAGGCTCTTAGCTTCAGATTGAATCATAACTCTCTATGATAATTATGATGGAAGCTATTTCTGCTGATATAACTGTGTCTTTTGTCACAAAAACCTACTAGTAAAAAACTGCAAGTTCTCTGGGGCAAAAACTGAAGTGTATCACTCTTGCTGTTTAACTTCATGTACAACAGAAAGATGGTTAAAGAATAATAGACCAACTGGTTGTTTCTTTATACCTAAAGAAGTGCCAAAACCAGCATTAAAAAAATAAAAATAAATAAATCAAAAGGCAGACACATCACTCATACTGCCCCAAATTTACATTTTGAAATCTTCTTTACCAGACTAATCCAATTCAGCCCATCCTGGCATGTAGGAAGACATCCACCAACACATACGGGATGTCTATACCCCAAAGGGAAGCAAATTATTATTACTCTCCCACCAGAAGGAACATATTGTTTCAAAAAGCAAGCGCTTTACAACAGGAAGTTGTATGGTACTGTGGGTAATAAATTGTCTAGCTGAAGATCAGACAAGCATGATTGTACTGGCCTCTGATTTGTGCATGGTTCTCCTGAACGTAAAGCAACACAACGCTATCTCCAGCACCAAGCTTTATGGCTGCAGTGAATGCCAAATGAATTCATCACCACTGGACACTTAAAATGAAATGCTACTCCTCCATAAACACATTATGAGGCTTATACCATCATGATAAATGAAGATATAAATTTACTCAAATCATTAAAAAGTGATCTAATTAGGAATAAAAGCTCTATTTCTTTATGTTTGTCTAGCTGAAGCTCTCCTGATATTAACCCAATATTCACATCAGCCAGTAAGGATGTATTTTTCTGTAGCTGCTATGAGAGTCCCTGGGGCTTGGCTGCCTGGGCTCAGGGCCAACTTTGATAATGCAGCTGTCCAGCATTGAGAAACCCCAGTAACTGCCTATCTCCCCTTTGCTTAGGAGCCAGGCACTTGGCTTTGGTCTCCATCTGAGCTTTGTTGCAGGTATGCCTTGGCCCAGACTCATATGTCACTGATTCTGGCTGTTATCCTAACCTGCTGAATTTCTGGCTTGGCCTTGTCACTATGGACTCTTGGCTGACCCCAGTTGCTGCCACTGGACCTGCTCTGCTCTTCTTGCTTGGGTAATGTAGGACTGCACCCTGCCATGAGGTCAATGGCCACACCTGCCTTGCTGTTGGTCTCAGCTCCCAGCTTGCCTTCCCTTACAAGAGCATCCTGCCCTTGCTGTGAGAGGTCTGTATGGACCCACTAACAGCACTCCTGAGGCAAGTTGAGGAACTGTAACGAAGACATGAGGCATTTCCCAACTGTGTCAAGTGCCAGGTATCTTCAGCTCCTAATTGTGGACTTCAAGCATCTTCCAGGAGCAAGCCCAGTATACTCACAGCAACTGGTGAGGCTTGCAGTGTGTTCAGGAAGAACTTAGTATATCTGCACCTCCTTGAATCAATGCTAACAGGAAACTGAACTCTGTCAGATCAAACATGTTATGTTTTGTGTTGCACAAGAGCTAAGAAAGGTGAGTTACTATAGTTAACAAGTTATCATACACTGGCTGGAGGTCCAGTACATTTTGGTATGCACTCCTAAACAGAGGTAAATATGAGCTGACTTAAGTTACCTTAACCTTCTCTTCTTCTGGGGTAAACTAAGTAGAATTACTTCCTGCTTGTTCATACAACACATACATAGTTACTGTAGGTCAGGTAAATAGTACCAGAAGCTTCAGATTTTTTTTTTTTAATGTTTTTGAGCACAAGTTTAAAAAAAAGTTGTGTTGTATATTGGCTTGCAGTCAAGTGGTTTTAGGTTATCAAAATTTTGTCTACTGTTACTGATTTGCACCTGGTTGGTAGCAATTTCTTCAACCTGCACATTTCATAGTTTAATCTTCTGTGCCTCAGAGCAATCAGCACATCAATACTGATGACACAAAATACTCAGCTGATATATTTAGGTCTGAGTGAGAAATACTTCAAGATCAGTATTTGTACCAAACCTCAAGATTGAAATATTCCAGGTCATTTAATCGTCTCTTAACTTCCCACATCATCCTCCAAGTCAGAAAGGAGTGATTTTTTTAAAATGTTTTTTTTTTACCTCAGTGTCTATATCTCTGCAAGCCTCGATGTCGCTGCTATTAGGGAAGTATTTTTCATCAGTTTCAACTGTCTGCCAGTAAAATCCATTTGGCACTGCAAACACCTTCTCCACTGCCTGAAATGGACAAAGAACATCTCTCACCTGTATGTTACCTTGATCCCTCAAAATAAAGGTCTAGGAAAAAAAATAGTATTTTATGGCTAGAGAGCACGTAAGGATGCACATTAATGGATTAAACTCATTAGTCCAGTGTTGTTAATCTATCATTTGCTTTCTTACAGCTGTACCACTAGCTCCAATTAAGTGATATTCCAAGAATATGAATCTGCAACTGCTTCCCGAGAGACTGAACATTCCCAGGGTCCAACCCAGTGACCCTCCAACATGCAGAGTACCCACTGACATGAACAGGAGTTGAATGCAAAAGGCACTGCAGGATCCAGCTGAGCAGCTCAAGACCTTGATTCTCCACAAATTGTGCTGAGCATCCAGCAGAAAGGGCTTTGTTAAAGGAATGCTCTAATTAACTAATCAAATGGAAAGGTAGGGAAAGAATTGCATGAACTTCTACACGCCTGTAACCAAAATAGGACATTTCTCCTGTGCTCATGTCACCACAAGTGACACGTATCTGTAAGTCACATACTCATGGATAGGCAAAAAGACTCTGGCATTTAGGTCACAGCTTTACAGAAGTGTAGCATTTCCCAATCTCAGCACCTTATTTTGTTTCTCATACATTTTCTGGGCAGCCAAGCAAGCAACTTGTACAAGTGCAAGTTTAAGGATGTGTCACTCATAGGAATTTGCTGTGACTGCATGCTCAGTAAGCAAGGCCATAGTCCAGGAACAAACACAGCTTTTGAAAGTCATGTTTGTCAAGTTCTGGTTTGAGAAGAAGTGATATTTGCAGCTATGCCAATATTGAACATTCCAGAAATATGGAGGCATTTAAGCAGAGTTCACAGTGGGCAGGATTAATTCCAAGATTAAATAAATAAATAACCAAATAAAATTGTCACTTTTGAGACATAGGCTCAGGTGGTGTATCTCAGAGTAGCTTCACTATTTTTAAAGACTCTACTTTCATTTACAGCAGTAGTTAATCTGTCCTCATCTCATGTGGACAGACCTTCTCAAAACAGAAAAAAGAAAAATTTCAACATGGTCTCAACAGGACTTTTATTATGGATAGAAAATGGACTAACACTGTATAAAGAACTGTCCATTCTGGATTATGAGTTACATACAATGCTGTTTAACTGTGTAATCACCTGAGAGGTGGGGTTTTTTGTGTGCTGCTTGACAAATGATAGGCACTTCATATCACTCTACAAATGTTTAAAAACAAGAACCAGAAAATGAAATTAATTTGAATAATATTAAAACCTCTCTGACATCTGTCTTTCTGCTTCAGTAACCTTTTGTGTTTTCTCCTTCCTCTATTTCCTGTGCTTCATGAGATATTTGCCTAAAAGCAGAACTGGGAATTTCACTTTTCACCCGGTTTCAGTCAACACAACTACACAAAACCAAGAGCTTTGACATCTCTCAATGGATTTGTCCATTTTGTCCTGCAATTCATAATTCACCAGTCTACACTTGTGATATTACACTTGGTTGCTGTGGAAAACATCATTAGAGGAAAAGCAAGAAATCATTGATTAAGGAAACAGAAGATTGTCTCTGTTTCCATTGTTTGATGCCAGCTCCTGCATGCAACGACGGCACAATGCAGTGAGCACAGACAAGCCCTACAAAATGGGAACGCAGCAAGACCTCAGTCTTCTGTTCCTTGAACAAACCTCAAGTCTATGAACTTTCAAGAAGAAGAAAAAGAGAAGGGACAAATGTCAAACCAATTCCAGCCTACATTTCCATAGAAACTTTCATTATAATCATCCAGCCCCAGTTAGGACACAGAGGATGCACACTGGGAAATCCAAGGTAAAAAGTTGACCTTTAGGAAGTACCACAGTGTAAGCTATGGATCAGCTGTGATCCCAGGCACACTGCCACATGGTTGGCCTCCCCCCTCACCAGAGCAGGGATCTGGCCACACTTGGGAATGGAGGCCTATGGGAAATTGTTGCTGTGATCTTTCAGATTCTGTTTTCTAGCAGCCAACCTGAATGTGATTTCACAAAGCAACAAAAAATAAAGCTTGAGAAGTCTTAGTTCTCCTAGAAAATCCTTTTCCTCATGAGTAAGAAAATACACAGAGATGGCTGCAGTATGACAGTCCCTGCTTTGTCCAGCCTAGCTAATAACGTGCCAGTGGAGGAGAACTCCTGACACTACCTTCTTATACAATGCACAGGAAAAACAGGAAGAAAGCTACTGTCCCCATGCATGTAGGAGAGAATTGCATCAAGTCAGTTGTTATAATATTGAGATAAGCCCTATCTGACATATAAGGCAGAGTGACCTTCCACAGGCAGTTGCAGTACCCCACTCTTACTGAAATAATTTTGGCAATTTTGACACTATTTATCTTTATCTTTACTTTGGTGCTACTTTTAATGTTCCACAACGAGAGAGAGGGTAGGTGTGAGAATTGTATTGGTTTCACCTGAGGGCTGCTTCCTCTCTCACGCCTCCAACAACATTACAGTAGCTGTAAAGCTTCTGTGCAAACATACCAGTTCAGAAAGTCTCTGAATGCTGACCTGTCACTTGGGGGGAGAAGAGGAGATTCTCTCCCCATGCACTGCACAGAATGGTGAAAAGGCAGTTGAGCCTTTGATACCTACCTGAAAATACCTCTTCCTTAAGGCTCTGCAGACTCAGAGCACTGTAATAATCTCATGTCTCATGGTAAAGGCATTATACCAGGGAGGAAAGGTACCCTACAGACAGCCAATGGCAGCTACAGCAGCCCCAGGGATACTTTGACTTATGCTGTGACAGGCTTCAAAACCCAGAATCATTTAACCATAACAATTTCCATGACTATGTCTCCCCCACCCTCTGCTGTAAGAAAGCAGGGCTTCTTACAGCACTGATATCCTTTCCATCCATTTGCCATGATCAGAAAGAGCAGGGAGGAAGGGCATGTCCAAAACCTCCCATTTGTAGTTACTCTTTTTTTGTCAATTATCCTTTTTCTTATTTGTTTTGGGAGACAAATTCTGATTTCTGCTACTTTAAGACACTGGAAAAGACCGCTTTATACCATAGCTAGGACTGAACATGCACCATTTTTTCAAAAGCATTAAAAAGAAACCTGGAGCTACTGCTTTGTTTCAGACAATATTACCAAGATGAAGCCAGACAGTTATGGGAAGGAAATTCACAGCAGAACAAAAATGTGTTGTAAAGCACTGAGCAGAAACAAGAATAAGCACATTTTAGAGAAGACTGGAGCTATGTGCAGCAAAACCATGAATCTTTAACTGTCATACAGAAATATGACCAAATCCAATATCTCTTCTTCTTGCTTACAGTGTATTCTATTCTCATTTCCAACAACAAAGAAATAGCTTTTGCTGTCAGATGATCTAAGAGAGTCTTTTAAGTTGCACCGAGTCTTCTAGACTGCTTCCCAGCCACAGCAGGAAAACAGAAACTGCAGGAAGAATTTCTATGTACTCCACAATCTCATCTCCTCACATGCAAGGTACTTTCAAAGCAAAGATCTGCTCAGCCATTATCACTATGGGACAACACCCAAATCCATTGAGAAAGATGCTGTATCCTCCACTACCTCCAGAGACAGACTGTAAATTCTGCATCTATATAACCTCTCCGTTTCAACCCCACTGACCACATCGGTGGCAGCAGAGGAAGCACTATTCTCACTCTAGCAAAGGCCTTGATGTTAACATGCAGGCAAGGCTCATGTCTGATGTGATTCATTGAATCATGCCCCTGAATTAGGCAGCATTATTCTCAAACTCTCTCCTCTCACCGCTGTCATGAATCCCAATGCATTAGCATAGTATTCCTTGTGGAATCCAGATTAACACAAATTTGAATTTGTTTCCTGCACATCTTCCCTCCCCATTGTGCATGCTCACTTCAGATGGCTAAAGATTTAGTATAGGAAATGTGGAAGCACAGTAGGAAGATCTCAGGCAGCGAAAAGGCTGGGGATAGAGAGGGCTAATTAAGGGCTTTGCCACTGAAGATGTACAATTCGGCTGACTGTATTTCAGGTGGTTTGAAGATGCATCTCACTTTCCCTTGTCCCCCTTCTGGATAAAGAAAGGGATATCTTAAAACACGGAAGAGAAAGGATGAGACAGTAACTTCCACCCTTTCTGCCCATCGTGCACAATACTAATGGCTAAGCACATTAGCTTGATAGTTCTTTTAAGCTGCTCTTTTCTGGAATAATTAGCGATGGTCACAATTTAAATGCGAGCTATCAAATTTTACGAAGAATGAAAAACAATAATGGTTTATTCCTCCCCAAGCTATGCCTTCATCTTTGTGCCAACTCTGGTAGACATCATTGTAGTCCTTTCTCCTTTTAAAGGTTAGGGGTTTTTAGTTACAAATACCAATGACAGCCTGAACTCCTGGACCCACTAAAATCAATGACAAACTCCAACGGGACTCAGCTAGGGCCAGGATGTCACCTTCACCCTTCTGCCTCATGAAGATACAGCCATGCAGCTATTCTGTGTCTGCAGCTATGGATTAATTTCTATAAATGCATATAGATGAGGCCCCAGGACAAATGTCTTACTCACAGACAAGTCATATCCATGTGGAATCATCAGTCAGATGATGTGCTCTCGATAAAGCTGTTGATACAGCTTTATCAGGCTGCACAGCAGACTCAGGGTGCCAGACATGTGAGATCTGGCCCTTAGCACCAACTCAGATAAAGACAAGACACGAGCAAGATTTGGAAAGCAAAGGGCGGGATGAACCTGTCCTTTTGAACCTCCTGGTTTACAACTTTAGCCTGGATTTCAAACCATCAATCTGCTGGACTCAGCAGCTGGCACCTGCCACGCTGCAAGTCTCATCCTGCTGGATCTGGTTTGAGGAAGCAGATGTGGAGGTGCTGTTCTGGGTGTTTTATCTCTCCCTAATGCCCATTTCAGCTGCACAACAATCATGTCTTTCAAGCTTTGGCATCAGGCTCCACAGAAGCTTTGGAGGAGAAAAGCACAGCCCTGAGCTATACACTAAATCTGAGAGCTTACAGCAACATGTGCATCAGGTCTAACAGCTGGTCAAATTCTGTTGCACTCCAGGTAGCTCAGTCTGCACTTTCGACCCACAAAACACTACATGGCCTAGCTTAGGTACTGCTTAAAGCTGCTAAATTTGCTACTTCTCACACAGCGTGAAAGGAGAAAGAGAGAACACATGGGGCAATAACCCAAAATCAAAACAGCATAATTGCCAACACCATGAGGCACTGAACCACAGCATACCACCAGTTATTACAATTTGAGATGTGTTAAAGGCAATGCCCACATGGCCAAAGGCCTGAAAAGAGTTGGGTGAAAAGCTGATGTAGTAGTATGTAGCAGTTCTCTGAGCAAGACTCTTATTAGCATTGAAGTTAAAAGAAGTTATAGTAAAAGACAGTGGAAGATGCTGAAGCCACTCAGCAGGGCTAAGGCCATGATGCTTGTCAATGAAATAATGTCACAGCATTCAAACTATAAAGCTTAGAGTCTTCTTGTTGAGCCCATGCTAAAAACACAGATCAGAAAGTTTCTCTGGAAATGCCTCTCACTCCCTCTTCAGAGACTATACACAGAGTTAGGGCAATCACATACCTAAATTAGCTGCCTGTCCTGGTTTTAGCTGGGATAGAGTTAATTGTCTTCCTAGTAGCTGATACAGTGCTATGTTTTTGAGTTAGGTATGAGAAGAATGTTGATAACACTGATGTTTTCAGTTGTTGCTAAGTAATGTTTAGTCTAAAGTCAAGGATTTTTCAGCTTCTGATGCCCAGCCAGCAAGAAGGCTGGAGGGGCACAGTAAGTTGGGAGGGGACACAGCCAGGGCAGCTGACCCAAAGTGGCCAACAGGGTATTCCATCCCACGTGAAGTCAAATCGAGTATATAAACTGGGGGAGTGGGGGGATTGCCACTCGGGGACTATCGATTGGCGGGTGGTGAGCAATTGCATTGTGCATCATTTGTATATTCCAATCCTTTTATTATTACTGTTGTCCTTTTATTAGTGTTATCATTATTAGTTTCTTCTTTTCTGGTCTATTAAACCATTCTTATCTCAACCCACAAGTTTTACTTCTTTTCCCGATTTTCTCCCCCATCCCACTGGGGAAGTGAGTGAGCAGCTGCATGGTGCTTAGCTGCTGGCTGGGGTTAAACCAGGGCACCTAATTGTGCAAAGCAACAAGTGATGCATCTGGGCCTGCTTTTTCACAGCATGAAACGGCCATTTCTAATTTCATCAGCATTGCATAGCTCTTCTGCTACATGGTTATTTCAGTCTTTGAAAAAAAGTTTGCAACTTTTCAAAGCTTGTGTGCATGTGTGTAGTGTGCACATGTAGAGCTTGTCTGGTAACACAGTTACCAGCAACTCTCTAGCAGGGAAATCCCAAAAGTCTGAAATACCACATTAAAGAACTGCTGTACTTTCTGCAAGTCCACTCCCATACATCGAACTTCCTGTTAGTTCAGTCTGTGCTGTTTGAAGTTTTTGGCAGCACTGAGTTACAACATCAGGGCAAATTTAGCTCCTTGAACCCAGTTCTAGAATTCTTATCTATGCTTAGCCAAAACAGCCATTAAAAAAAAAATTTTAAAAAAATGGAGCTTTGCTTAAGTGAAAAGCAAGGAGGGAACTTTGTGTAGGCCTGCCCTTAATCAGTACTATTGTCTCAAAAAAGAAAACACAACCCTTATGCTGGAAGTCAGCAGGGAAACTAACTAAAGAGCAACAAGTAGGGAACTGATCACCAGGAAGTGCAACAAAATCAATTTTCTGGCACTAAAAGAAAAAAATCTCATTCAGCTTGACTTAGGGATGGAGGTTCCTCTTCTTCCTTGAAATCTCACTGACACAATCACCCATCCAGTACTGCTATGCCCTGACTCCTCTGTCACGGCAGGCACCTGTATAGGTTGGGAGTTTGAGGAGGTGCTCTGGAAGGTGACCAAAAAGATGGTGAGCATTAGGGGTTGCAACCTTTGGGCAAATGTCCCACTGTCCAGAACAACTGAGAGAGAGCAAGAAAAATCCAGTGTGCCTTAATGGAACAAACAGGCACAGGAAAAGAAGCATCAACACTGGCTACGTATGTTGTCTGTATCCTTAAGGTTAACACTTGCATCCTAAGGCTTAACAGGAGAAAGTGCTTTTATTTTACTCTAAAATGAAGAAATCCTTTTTTTGCTGACAAGGGACATTGCAGTTAACTTCCACAGGGATTATGTCACTCCTAACCTAACCTGGGGTTTTAATGACTGCATTGTGAGTTTACTCTTCATATCAGAAGTGAATTACTGCAGGTTAATAGGCTGTATGCATAGCATTAATAAGAAAGCCTCAGAGAAAAATAACAAAAGAAAAGCAACCTGTTTGGGGTCCAGAACAGACTGAAAAAACACTAGACCAATTGACTGAAAAGACGACATTGGCTCATGCGCTAACAGACAATGTGCTTAAAGGTTATTACAATTGCAGCTAACAATTGCTCATAAAATCATACACAGAGCTAGTCAGTACACAAGCAGACAGCAATTTTACCTGATGTTCCCTCTCCCTCCGCTCCTACCCATTTGTCTCATCAACCTCTCAGGATTTTTGTCTTGGACCGTAAGCTACCTGGTGCAAAAATATGTATTCACTGCATGCTTTTCCAACATGTAGTAGCAGGTTCTTTGGTCCACTTTGTTTTGTATACATTGCCTCAAAATAAATATAAATACATAAAAAGCAAGCATGGATCACTGGCCTTGTACAAAATCTTCAAACCAATGAAGTTAAAAGGATACGATACTGAATTTTCTATGCAGCATTTTTTGGTTGTATTTTAATGACACTTGGGAACATTCTCAGTTGGTACCACTTTGTAAAGCTTCAGGGCAGACAACAGGATTAGCTGCTGCCTGCTGAGAGTCTGCCTCATTGAGCCTTGCTTTGAGAAATCAGCCTTTCTGTTTAACTGCAAGATACATCTAACAAAAAGCCATGATACATAGTGGTCTCAGTGTAATACAGGCCTGGGAACCTGGCTGGCACAGAGCATTTGGCCTTAGGAAGAGAACGTGGTCTTTAAATTGACTTCAGTTTTTCTGACATCAAGGTAAAGATCCACCCCCAGAAAGCGCCTGCTATCTTGCTGTTCAATTTCTAATGAATTGTAATTCCCCTAATAAGGGATTTGCATAAAAGCCCTGTTTTAAATGATGCCTTATTTTATGCCTTAAAAGTGTACAGCAGATTTATCTTTCACAAGTACATCAGACTGCTTTATAGCATTTGCTTCTACTTGAAAGCTACAGTGACTGCAAATCAACAACATTAAGCCTCCTTTTCCTCCACAGAAGGGGGATAAACCTTTAGGCAAATTGCTAAGTGCACTGCTAAGCCCTTAAGCTTTCATGGCATTGATTCTCACAGAGTAATAGTAATCCCCAAATCTGGTTGAAATTGCAGAAAAGTTCTCATGCTACATTATTTTCAGAACTAAACTTCATTGTGAACCAGAATTGCAGTCTTTACCATTCCCTAGAACTGTGTCTCAAGGTTTTTGTTGATTTAGAAATATTGGGAAAAGACCATGATTTTCCAAAGGCTGGTGATGTCATGGGAAAGAAATAAGTAGAACAATCCCTCAAAAGGTATGGAATTCAGGTCATATTAAGTGTTTCTTTGAAAACCTGGTCAAAATATTTACACTAAGGTAGGATAGGCTGTTAAAGGCCTCAAAGCAGTGTTGGATGCCCTCAAGGAATAAACTCCCCCAATAAGCATAATGAATTCTTGTAACATTTTGTTCACTTGAGTATGTGTTATGGAGCACTTGCTAACCTGACAGAAGTGAGAAAGTTAATTATCATTCTACTTATAGACAGCATGATGTGAGTGTTCTTGCAGACATCTCTAGGCAGGCAAGTGATTTTAAGCACTTGACTTTAAGAGGTGCTATGTGCTTGTAATCTCATACACTTCAGTGGAATCTACACAGCTCAGAATAATTTGTTTTCAAACTCTGTTTAAAACCTTAGCTAAAGCAAACAAGAACACCTGTTAAGACTGGAAAAACAACAACTTTTACTGGACCTTATGAGAAAAAAAAATTACTGGAAGTCCAAGCGTTTCTGTACAGTACCTGAGGATCAGGATTAACAGCAGTGATGTAACTGAGCAGGACAGAGGGAATTTCAGGAAGAAGTGGACACAGTTGGTTTTGGAAGTGATTGGCCAGTTCTGCCCTCCACCAGATAACATCTGGAAGCTGTGTACAGGCTAGAAATGCAGAAATCTTCTGGTAAAAAATGGATCTTCCTTGTAGATCTTCTTTAGTCTGCAAAGAGTCAATGGTTAAAAAGCATTGATGATGGCCTCAAGAACTTTCTGTTCTGTACCATACACCCATAGCAGTTCTTTCTCTGTCTGCAACCATCCCAGCCTCATGCTTCACACATCTGCCCTTCAGATTCTCCAAACCAAACCCCTAATGTAACACCCCTCAGCCTCCCAAACCGTCACACCCTGTCTCCCTGCAACCAGCACTCTAAAGTTGTCCCCTCACCCACAAGAAAGCGTACCCCTCCCACAATCCTGGTATCACCCCACAAAATCTTTACTCCCACACCCAAAGACAGAATTGAAGGTTCTGACACTGTCAGGGTTCCTGACCCAGGAGATGGGACTTGAGAGCAGATGCTGTCTGCAACAGGCAGTCACGCCCATCAGCTGTGTGGAGGAGCTCACCCCATGACTTGGGGACATGCCTCCACGTAGACTTGACTCAAACAAAGTGCCCCTTAGCCAAGGGACTGGGGACATTAACAGCATTGCCCTTCCACCAGAGCTCTTGACACACTCAGACTGCTCAGCTATAAAACTCAACCACAGATGATGACTGCCAAGTTAACAGCAATCTTCAGTTGTTTGCACGACACTGGTATAAAATAACTGGCTCACAACATCCGTCAGCCCACAAATATTACTCTGAAGCAATTACATACCACACTTAAAGAGGGAGAAAATGCCATAAACAGGACCATAAAACTGCCCAATATAAAGAAAGACAATTTGCAAATGGTTTCGTAGGGATATAAATGAAAAGATTTATTAATTTCAAGGTTTTTTGAAAGATTGATACTAATACATTAATATTGAATACTGCACTGCTAAATTACAGTTTTCCATCACTTAACCCCCCCTCTAAGCCCCTTTGTTCTTCCAGGTTGGTTCTTAATTAGCAGGCCTTTCAGAGAACAAAATTGGTGACCTCAATAAGACTCAATTAGAAATTAACAGAATCAACAATTATGCAAAGCATCTTCTCTACACCAGCTATTATTGCACCTAGAAAGTAGAGCTCAAGCAGGAAAGGTCTGCAAAAAAGCCCAAACCTAATGACAGAGATTGCGAGCTCTTCTGAGCCACCACAGAATTAAGTGATTGAAGTGTACAGACAAGAACCACATTGCTTTGCACAGTGCTAGTGTGCCTAATTGGGAATGCTTAGTAGATTCTTAGAAAGCATACTGTGTACAAATCTAATTCCCATCAGACATGTTTGCAACTGCAGCTTGTCTATCAGCATGCAAGAATTACAAGAGGTGAGTGTATAACCATTTGTTCTGACAGCAAGTCAAGAAACCAAAACCATACAGGGATGTTCAAATTTGCCTCACTTCTATCAGTTGTTTGGAGGAGGACAGAAATAAAGCAACCAAACTGAACACCAAAAAACTGACAAAAATGGGAGGAGACATAGCAGAACCACTTGATGCAGGAATAGATGCCGTCCTAGTTGAATAAGCCAGAAGGCTTACTGATCTGCTGAGAACAGGAGCTTTTGCCTTGAGAACCCACTATTATATTTGTATTTATAGCCATTAGACCTTGGGATGGAGAAATACAATGTGACAAACAATAAAAGACACACAGGTGACAGTGAAGCAGCTAGTAAATAAAAAGTTGATGGCTTAGAGGTCTTGAATATAGCTCAGCTCCAGTTAATAACAACTGAGGGAAAAAACCCCAACAAACTAAAACAACAAAAAACCCCAGCAACAACCTATAGTAACATGAAACTAGCAGGATGCCTTGGTCCAGTTCTCAATGATGAACTGTACCACATCATTAGAGCTGTGACCCTACAGCAGGCAACAAGGCACAGGATCAAATAACATCAAAGCCAACAAGACAAACACACTCAGCTTGTTGAATCACACCAGGGTTGAGAATTAACAGGGGAGCAAGCTGGGGAAAGTGAAACCTTGCCTTGTTGATAGATAGGTCCTTAAGTTCTTAGACTAGCAATCCAAAGTTTGCTGTAAAAATCATATTCATATTACAATCTGAAGAAAATCCATGGACAACTGTCATTTGCTGCTATTATGAGACACAAGTACAGATACACAGAGAAAGATGGGCATTTCCCTCTTAGCATCAAGCAGGGATGTTGCATAATCTTGTACATACCCATCTTTGGCACTGAAAATGGACTCTGGACTACACACATTAAGAACATTAAAATATCAATTTGCCATAATGTTTCCAGTTAACATTTACACTACTTGGTATGTCTTTTTTACAAAATCCAAAAAAAAACCCTAAGATTTCCCTACATTCTTATAGCAAATAGATGCAACAAAAACACCTGGAAACCCAGTCATATTTTGGAGGTAAGCCCTGATAAGTGGTTCTCTTTGTGCCCATAGGAGACAACTGGAACAAGAACCAATAAATGCCACAACAGAATTTTGTTATCAGATTCAGCCATTAAAAACTGTACTTTAACACTACAGTGAGAGACTGAAGACTTAAGTGTGAAGAGTAAAATCTACCACATTTCTCTCCAACGACAGTTGAAGCTGCTCAAGGGTAGGAATGGGGAGGTAGGACTAGTTGCTGTTGCTTTCCTTGTCTCTGCTGCAGCTGACACTTCTGAAAGACTTTGTTGTTCTTGTAAGCTTAGATCTCTGTTGGGGAAAGCAGCAGCTTTACAAACACCTCAGGAAAGCAAAATTGACAAAAGTCATTGTTACCATGAAGACATATGGCAGAGCTTCTAATGAGAGGAAGCCTTAGTTACACATAGTCTTGCTTTGAGGAACACCGTCCAAATGCCTGGTATGTTAGCTGCTGTGCATACTAGCTGAACTCAACAGCAGTGTCAGTAACTGTAAATTAGGCATCAGAATAGCATTTACAATTTATATATGGACCAGAAACTCCGTATGGCTTGTTCCACCAACTTGTGATACAACCCCTCCCAGCTCCAACCAAGTGTTCTGAGCAGCCTGAGCCTGCAGCTTCAAAATTTCATTCAATTGCATAACATGGGATACATATTTTGAGCATACTCAGTGCTCAATAATTTTGATGCTTTGGCCAACCACTCAGCTGAAATCAGCAGAGAGCAACAAGGCAAGTGGACAGAAGGCAGGTCAGTCTCTGTTCTTCCATTTTCTTTGCTCCATAGAGCAAACACCTTGAATTCAGTTGCCTTAGACAGAAATCAACATTAAGCCCTTGTCCAGTCTAGCAGGCTGCTTAGTCTTATTAGCCCTGCTGCTTCTGCCAACAGGTGCTCAAACACTCACGGAAAGGTTGCTTATTGTTTTGGGGTTGGGTTTTTTTGGTAGTGTTTTAATCATGGCATTTGTTGCGGCATCAATCATTTACTTGCAGGAGCACTGGAGCCACAGCTGTCATACTCCAGGCTTTATGATACATCATGGGAAATTTAATCTTTTCTGCTCACAGGCAGGCAGCTGCAAGTGAAGAATGCTTGCTGCAGCTGAGTAGGGGAAGCTTAAGTGTGTTTTTAAAACACATTTACACCTCCTCTTCCATTTATACTTCACATGATGTTTCCAGCAGGTGTGACTCACATACATGGGAGCCCCCCTAAGACCACCTGCTATTGGGTCCTATGGGGTCTTTTCAGCATAGAGGAAGTGTCAAGAATGAGCACAACTATTGTCACATTCCTGTTAACATCACCAGGGATGAAGCAGGCAAAAATAGAATAGAAAATCCACTACCAGCTCACCAAAGCCACAAGTGTTGCTTTGAGCCACCTAAGAGATACTTGCCAGCCTCAACAAAGTACAGGGCCAGCATCTCAAAGGTTATTCAGTAACAGGAGAGTTATTCATGCAAGTGCCCCACAAGAGATCCAGGGTACACAAGGATCACTGCTCCCCAGATATACCTGGGTACATTGTCCAGCAAGAGTCAGCTATACTGCATAGGTAGGATAGATATTTATACTGGGCAAGAGTAGCAATAATATCTAAAAAGCTGTGTCCAAAAAAGAAAACAGAACGAGATGCTCAGAGTACCAATCTGTATCATATTAGCTCTGTGAAAAGACAGAACCATCGAACTAGAGCCTAGAGCTGCTATATCATAGCTCTGCTGTTTTCAGGACACAAGTTCATATCATGCCCTACGTTACATTGCGCCACCTACACGTGCTAGATTTTCAGCTTGTGTGCTAGACCTTTCAGCTTGGCATTTTTTTTGCACAGCACAGGCTCTATAGTGTACCAGAGTTGAGGGAACAGAGTCTCAGCTCCTGCCTCCAGGCCCCGACTCCTGGGAGCCAAATAGCAAGACAATACTCCCTCTCGTGGGCCACACTCTTCACATGGTTAAAATGTAAGAGGAAAATCCGTAATACATGCCAAAGGTATGTCTCCTCTGAATCCAGTCAAATTTTTGCACCGTGGGGTTACAGCCACACCAAAAATATTTTAACAGCTAATGAGCAGTAGAGACAAAAAAACTATGCCACAGAGAGCTGGTTTCTCATCTGCACATAATCTAAATTCAGCATAACTGAGGACAGCTTGAGTTGGCAATTAGCTGTAAGCAATCTTTCAGTTCCCACAGTACTGGGCTGTTCCCCCATTCTAATTCAGAGCAGCGCTTGTGCTGCTCTATCCTGGCTCGCTGAAATTTGAGGTTGAATTGGCATATCCAAGCCTGGTCTTTAGTAAAAAACCAGTGGTTACTGCCTATGGCTGTTGTGCATGACTAGCAAGTGTAAATGCTGCTACTCACTTTTATCTTCTGGATCTTAGTGCTGTTGTGGGCTGAACACTCATCTGCTGGCATTAGACAAGCATATAGGGCCAAGCCATCTTCTCGCCAGACCTGCTGCAGCCCTACCACCTGAAACGGAGCTTTAGGTCCATCTTTCATTTTCACAGGAGGCACCTGTAAATCCATTTGAACATAATTTCATTTTCAGACAGCTGTATTTAGAGACTGAAAATAACCGTTTATCTTGCTCTGTTGCTTTTGAGTAGAACCCCATAATGTACAATAATCCAGGGAGCACTCTCACTTGATTAGTAGATTAGCTGTGGTTTAGCCAGTAGAAAAATCAATAAAGACCAAATCAAATAGGAATAACATGTAGATTTTGACAAGTCATAGGATATATTTTCTCAGCAAGGACTTGCAAGCTCTGACTTCCACCAGTTTCACTATGTGAAAGCAAGAACTTGCATTAGTTCCCTAGTCTAGCAAGAAATGAGAACAGTCCTTGTCAACACTGTACTGCATGTTCTTGTCACAGTGGTACCATGTGCTGCCTTATTAATGATAATGAGATCAATCCAATTTCAGTTCAAAAATCAATGCTAAGTGATTATGCCATTCTGAGGAGCTAGTGCAGGTTTCCTTAATAAGCCTTTGTCTTTCCTATTAGTGATCACTAATAGCCAAAACCTCATCAATCCCTGTCCAGTGAATATATCTTTTAGTTAGACTGAGGTGATTTCTTTTTGATGGATTTTTTTGTGCACATTCTATTTTCCAATATAACTATCTGATCCAAAACAAGAAGGGTAAAAAGTGACTTCTGTCAACCCCAAGATGAACATTGGACATCTTTCATCATGAGTATCAGTTTAGTTCCAGAGATAGGGTTCCAATAGGATAGACCACTCATTGGCTCCTACAGCTGCTCAGACTGAAACATGATGCACTTTATCATACAGTATACATGAGAAACTTCATTACAGGAAAGAAAAGAGACAGGAAAGATACCTGAAACAGACTGGGAAGGCACTGTAGTGCTGCAAAGCATCCTAAAACCTGGGCAGCAGGTGAAAGAGGGCAGAAGGCTATGGGAAAGTCAGACACAGGCAACCAGCAAAGCCATGAGAAAGGAATAGCAGCCATGTGAGGTAGTGTTCAGGTTCTGCCTGAGCCAGATCACACGCTAGATGAAGAGACAGGCAAGTGTGAATTACAGGACTATAATTCCTTCCCAGGGTTCTGGTGAATACAGAAAACACTAAGTCTTGTTCTCATGGTTTATACCATCACCATGATCTCTAGATGGATTAACAGCTCTGCTATTTACTGCTTATATAAACCAAAACTATTTACAATGAGATAAATGCCTTTAGAAATATGCTCTCAACACAGGGCCTGAGTGGATTTTCAAACTGTTGCATAGGTCAGCTGTATCACTCAAAATAGCACAACCAAGTCCTTGACTGCTTTGAACACTGGTTTCACATGGGAAATTCTGTAGCAGCTCTGCCACTGGGGAATGCTTGCATCTGGAGGATCACGCTCTCAACTGGTAGAAATCAGCATATCTTCAATGAAATCAATAAAGATATGCTGATATACACAAGCCAGGAAGCCAGTGAATCAGTGGAATTACAGAGATTATGACCAGATGAGAATTTGGTCTAAAAATGCCTCCATCTTTCCACTTCTTTTAATTACAGAAATGCAGACCTTTTCACTGCTATCCAACAGCTGTTTGAGAACCTGTGTGAAATCAGTTGGTGGATTTTACCCCAGGTTCTCTTGGACACAAAGTCCATCACAACATTTGACCCTACAGTCTTAGTAGAGTGACAGTGATCCCTGGAAGCTGAGATATCCTTTCAGGCTTGGAGAATCTGCTACAAGTCAGAGCTCATGTTTTTTAAATGGGAGTAACATAAGGGAAGAAAGTTCACACTGCAGCTGGTCATGAACTAACTAGTTTCTGAATGGAAGATTCAGACTCTGGGGCTGTTCAAGTGGCAATTTTCATTAGCACTGAACTAGCATTAAAGAATGTTAGCAATATTTTAATGGAAGTGTGAACATCTTTAACAATTAATACTGTTTAAGTGAAGTTTAAGTGATTTAAAAGCCTTGTGCAGGCTGTCCGCTCAGGGTGAAATCTACCTTGAGCGCATGTATTGGTACTGGTGTGTCAATGTCTTTAACCAGGGAAAAGAATGAGGCCAATGTGAGGGATGGGGAGGGAAAATACACATTGCCTGTTTTCCCTAGAGGAAAAGGCTAATATGGGATGAATGGGAAGAGTGAGGAAAAGGTGGTTTCTTTAAATGAGAAAAATATCTGATCCAAAAGACAATTAAGATGAAAAAAACCACCACTTGTTTATAGCTCTCTTGACTATCAGAAAGGATCTCTCTTAACAAGTGGTAAGAAATAGGCACCTGTGCCCATTCGCTTCTTTTGCCAAGGACAAAGTACAATACTTAGACAGCCCTCTACTTCCAGTAGTCACTTTTCACTATTGCGAGTCTGGCCCAACAGTTTTTTTACTTTCTGTCCCCTGTTCTTCATAAACTACAGGCACAATCCAGCTCCCACTGACTTCAGCAAGACTTTTATTTACTGACTTTAAGGTGAGTTAGAACATAATTTCTCCCCTTTGTTCAACCACTGTTTTGTAGCTGTTGGAAGAAGGAGATTCCAAGAATGATTATATATTCACTGGAGGGACAAACACAGCCTTAATCATGCAGAACCTTCTTTTGTGCACTGTCACTGCACATACTCACCAGAGAGAGAAGCCACATCACAAGGGTCTGGTAGATGTCGGCTGCTCCCAGCACCATGTTAGGCAGCTGCCCACTGCACTGATCTGTAGCTACTTGGCCACAACTTGACAGCCAAATGGTCATAAGCAGCATTTCATTTTTCATACTGTGTGGTCTAGGCAATGTGTCAATATCTGGCAAATAAGAGGCTTCCTGTCAAAGAAACGTATAAAAATGGAAGTCATTTGGATTACTGGAACTGTATTCATCATCACGAATGAATCACATTCATTGCCATCACAGGAGGGGCAATTAATATCTAGCGAGCATTTATCAAAGATGAAGCACAAGCCATAAAAGCTAGGTCATTATATCAGTGACACCTTCCTGAGCACTTCAGTTTTTCTTGGAGAGCTGTCACCTGGGTCTTCACTTAGTCAAACACTGCTCGGTGAATGGAAGATTACATGGTCACAGCTGGAAATAGTGTGATTGAATTTATTCTGTATTCTTTAAGATTCTGTGTTTTGGCTTTTTTTTTTTTTTTTTTTAAATCAGTGAAATGCCTTCAAAACTAGTCTGATAGAAGTGTGAAAACTTTCATTATTTTCTGCTTCATCTAACACACCTCATTTCATAGATGATGTTACATTTAAGTGAACTCATCTCCTTTCTTTACTTTAGTATTGATACTTGGTTATTTAGGATGCAAATTCCCTCTCCTTTAAGAGACCCATTCTTTAAGAAACAACTTCAAGCTTGAGCTATGGAATTATTATTTATGGGATCTCTTTTGTTCTTCCAAAGATGCGGTAGCTGCAGCTGTAATTATTAGCTGGCTTGCTATCCCTATCTATGTTCAATTTGCTGTCCCTGCCATTTATTTCGTAAATTAAGAAGCTAGTCCCTAAAATCACAGAGATTCTCCAGTATACTTAAGAGTATTGCTCCTCAACAGTCGTGATCCTTTAATAAGGACCCTCAGCCCCCCCCGGCCCCAAGGCATGCTGAGTGCATATATTCTACAGGCATGGACACACATTCATTTTGGAAATAAGCAGACCTGTTTACAGAGTTAAGGTTTCCAAGCTACTTGTTAGAGCATCAACTCCCCACTGCAGAGTCAGCAAAGTGCAACATGACTACATTTCCTGTACATGTCAACACAATCAGCCAACAGACTAAACTGCTAAGAAAGGTGAGCAGAATTAATCTGAAATAACCTACTGTAGTATGAGACTAGCAAGCACCCCCTTCTGTGAGCTGAGCTGTGGAACACTATAGGAACACAAAGGGAGCAGGAGGGTGTTGAGGAGCAGCTAAGCAGTAATGTTTTCAGTTGCTCCAGGTAGCCCTTAACGAGGATGTCTGCCCACACCTTTACACTGAATTAACCTAAATTTGATTTACCAAAATTTACTTTGGAAGCAAAGTAAGATAAATCCAATTAAAGCCACTTGCAATTCTGAATTAAAATGCCTACAAAGGTGTTTAATGAGTATTCAACTTGACAAGTTGATGTAGCTTGACTTCCCTGCCTATCCTCAAAATAGACAATTCCTTAAAACAGTTTTGAAAAAAATATACTAATAAAAAACCACAAGCAGAGCTATTGCATCATCCAGTGTTTTGGCGCCAAAATATCTGCCACAGACACAGCTCTGCCTACAAGTACCAAATAAAAACTGCAATTAGTTATAAAGGAAAAATAGTCCTGCAAAAGCTTCTGATGCTGCAGTTCTACATTACTAATGCTACTGTAGTCCTGGGGAGCTCACAGAATTCATTAGGGCTTTGACCCTACCATTGTAATTCTCTGAGGAAGAAGCCTTAAAAGAAACTTGGAGACTTTCAGGAAAAGATGACCTTCTTCTACATCCTATATTGGAGAAATGATTTTTTTTCTTCCTCTCTCAACAAGGGTGTGGGGATCAATGACAGGAAGTAACTCAAGAGCTAAAGATTAAACCAGTATCTACCAATGCTTCAGCAGGAAAGTTCTGACTATTTCATATTTGCTTGGCCTAGCAGCAGGGGAGGGCTCAATAGGTTTTTTGACCAAGATCAGCTAAGAATTTTACTTATTAAGGTTCTTTCTGAGAATGAGTGAGGTTTTGATCAATGTTGGTCCTTCCCTCTCCTCCTTCTGCCAGCCTCCTTACCCCAACAAGAATCTAGGCATAGAATAATTTAACTAATTTCAGAAATATTGAGGCTAATGAAGAAAAAATGGACTAATCCTACTTAATTCTGGGCAAGAATTGCTGAAGAAAGATATATTCAGTGCTTTCTGAGTATGCCTTCCCACAGCATTGCCCCATTTACCCTAGTCTACCTGTGAAGAGAGTTCAATTTGCCTACATGTTACACGGGCTTTTATTTGTGATGGTATTAGATTATAAAAAGACTAAAATTACTTAAATGCTAGGCTATTTTTGGTTGCTCTGGCTAGAATTGTGCTGTCAATCACAGACAGGCTTGCAGCTGATTGTAGTCAAGTGCCAACGATTACCATAGAGTAAATAAGATAAAATTCCCTATTTCCAAAGTGCTTGCTATTTTATTTTGCAATTATAGTTTACAATATTGCCATTTACAACCTTTCAGCTTGATTTTCCAACCCCTCCACCCCCAGTTCTGGCCATCTTTCTCCACTCTAACATAACAACAGTGCAAGTAGAAGCACTAAGCAGCCAAAACCTCCTGCCAAATCCACGCTGAAAAAGAAAAAGAAGAAAAAGGAATTGCAAGACAACTTAAGGATACCCATATATTCTAGCCTTCAGCTATAGCAGTGTTGAAGTTACACACACAGAGGCATAGCCCCAAAGGAAACTACTATTCATAAAGAAAAAAACCTGTAACATGAAGGCATCCGTACAATCATTTTAAAAGTGGCATTTTACATCCATTTTTTTAAAAACAGAGGTGTTTATGATCACAGTAATCCAAAGCTTAGCAGACACAAGTTTGTCAGCCAAGATTAATGCCATTTTGTTTCTATTAAAATAGCTCAAATAGGTTAAATGATGCTTTTCTTGATTTTTTTTTTTTTTAAAAACTATTTAGTATGGCTTTTACTATACCTGCATACTAGATTGGACAAACAGCTCTGTTGCCTTAAGACTGAGAAACTTTATCAAAACTGTCAGAGGCTGGAATGATGAGTGGCACCTCAGGAGCCAAGAAGACCAGATGACAAGTTTGCTGCTGGTGTCCAGCTAAGTACAAAGCTGATAGCAAGTGAAAGCAGTTACTACCAACTGCTGTTCAGAAATTTCATTTCACCACATAGGCTGAAGCAAGCAGTGAGCATTGCCCAGCAGAATCAGCTCACCCAGCCTGAGGGTTTCTCCCAGTGGAAGGATAGGTCAGGGAGAAACCAATTTTTAATTCCGCCCCCCCCCCAGATATGGTCTCTCTTTTGCAGGTAAATAAAACGTTGATATTTCCCTTCTAGCACCTTTTCCAATACTAACTGATGCTAGCACTGAAGCAAGGTATCATATTCAATCAAAAAACACTCTCAACTATGTTGAATAGACTCTACAACAGCAAGAGCTAAATCAAAACATCCACTGCATGTAAAATGAAGATAAGTTCTACTCACACAGTCTCCTCCCCCCTGGAGGGGGTGAGTGAGGGGGAAGGGGAGGAATAAGAAGACTCTTACTCTCATTGGCTAGAGGCTTAATCAAAATAATTGTTTTCAGCCATGTCTAAATTTATCCTTCTATGTCATCTGCACCCCAGCTTGGATCACAGATTTAAGAGGCAATCCCTGATGAATGGCAAATTACTGACTGCAGAAATCTTTTGCCAAATGATGCATCTGCTGTACATTTGTAAATGTGAGCTGATTTCTAGGTACTTTAGCAGCTCTAGCTAATTTCTCTAATGAAAATTCTATACTTTTACATTGAAATAGCTCTAGCATTGCATGTTCACGCTTCATTATAGACAGACCTCGCAGTACAAAACGCAAGCATGTTGATTATGTGGTTATACATCTATTTTCCGTGCAGTCATGTTGCTAATGTAAGAGAGTAGATAATTAGGACACATTTAAGAATTCTGTCCATCTGAGGCAAAGCAGATAACACTCTTTCATGGCTTCTAAAAATTCTTGCATTAGATGAAGACATATTGGAAATGTCAAGTGTTTGTTCATTTTCATTCTGTGGGGAAGGAAAAATAACAATGCCATCTGTTAGATTATTTGAAATTCCATGTTAAATTGTGGAAAAAACTCTGAAACCATTCAAAGAACTGCTTTATCATTGCAAAGTGGGAACAATAGTTAAGAATGAGGAAAGTATCTGCATTTCCTGCATGCAACCAGCAGAACATACGGTAATTAGGAAAGCAACATTTAATAATAAAAAGGAGAGTACGATTGATGTTAATGGTCTAAATGGTCTTTCTGTTAATGCATTTTTGTACTAGGTTCACTCTCTATAGCATCAAGGGCTTTCTGAGTATCAAACATGCTGAGGTTATGGATCTGAAAAATATGGTGGTGGAAAGATGTTATTGAAATTTTCTGATCTGAACTGAGCTTCACATTGCTAAAATGGAGGAGTTATGATCCTCCAAAGCAGATAACTCTGCCAAAGTAAGATTGCAGGAGTTCAAAGAGCTGCGTAATGGAAGCATTATTTGCTATGATCTCTGTAGTTCTCCAATTCAGTTAGGGCATTACATATCATCCAAGTTAAAAATAAAATTTAAAAAAAAAATTCTTTCCTGAGAATTTTCTTCTTGTTCGGAACAGTTATTCTTAGTCTTGGGCATGAAGAATATAACCTCTCCTGATTCAGAAGAAACCACTTTTCAATCTCTGGCAGTATGAGTGTGCTAAAGCTAGACAGTGTCTCTGCTGGAGCATAAAGAGGGCAAGTGTCAAAGAGAAACGTCAGCTTGTCACCAGAAATTACTGAATGTAGGAGTGCAGTTCAGATGTGACACACAGAAAGGAACTGAGCTCTGCTCAGCACAGGAACCAAGGACAGCAAAATTCACTTTGTATACCTTTTCATGTTGCTGCCAGCTGAGCACGGTCAACCCCAAGTGCAATTTAAAGTAGCTTTATGGCCACCACAACACTGGCAGACAGCTAATGATAGCTAGGATTGGTTACATTTCTGGCTCAAAAATCCCTCCCAACACAAATGAAGACAACAGAGAGATGTGATGTAGTGTGAATTACACTA